ACTGGCTAAAGAACCATTGCCAGCCATTGGCCACTGGCCAGAGAGAGGCCAGTCATCGGCCAATGGCTGGCCACTGGCCAAAGCACCATTGCCAGCCGTTGGCCAATGGTTGGCCAAATATGTGCTGCTTCCCAAGTAGCTAAGATTTTGGCCATGCAATGGCAAATGGCTGGCGATGGTCTTTTGACCAGTGCCGAAAGAGTGGCCTTTTATTGGCCAATGCTTGGCCGATGGCCAGAGAAACGCCAGTCATCGGCCAGTCTCTGGCCACTGGCCAAAGACCATTGCCAGCCATTGGCCAATGATTGGCCTACTCTGTGCTGACTAGATTAGGTTCAGTCCGGCCCGTTTAAGGGATAAATTTTTCATGAAATTCGCAAACATCGCTGTCCTCGCAAGAGCCAAGCCGTGAGCAACATACCATCGTGAGGTCTGCTTCGCACGCCTAGAACTCTCGCTTCGCGAATACATGAAACATCTTACGCAGCGTCGTGTGAATCGCCCTCGGTTAATCCAGAGACACAGATGACGAGGGTTCGGCAATTAGTTAGGGTGACCTGCACGAAAATGAAGGAACGTGGAAAATGAGGCAATGTGCAGACACTGCAAACCTTATCCGGACTCTCCGTTTTAATGCAGAATTGCATTGTTATACGGAAGCTAACTCTGAGTTAATAGACAGTTTTAGTATAGCGTTACTGGATCTTACGTATGCAATACGCAATAGTATAGCGTACGCTAAAAATGACCTGCTCGGACCGAATTTAGTTGCGCGTTACGTTTTCGTGTGAACACCGCGCATGATCTTGGTTAAATTTGCTAGAGCCGTGAAATTTCGCGTGCTTATAGCGCAACCATGCTCCTGGAAAGAAATATTGAAAAACAAAAAGTGTCCAATCATATTATTTCAGATTAAACCAAGCCACAGCCGCCTCGTCAAGCGCGCTTTTCTGCGGGGTACAGAGGCTACGAGTACGAGTGCGTAGCCAAATTCGATCACGGAGCCTCCGTCAGTCGTCCCGTGGAAACGGCACCTTTTATCGATGCTATCGCGGAATGAAATTCATGACCCTGATGTCCAGTGCATAGCGAGAACTTCGGCGATTTCTTTTAGAGTTGTTCGTCCGTCGGTGATGAACTGCGGGAATAGGCTTAGCGCTGAGCAGATCGCAGCGTCGACGCACACTGCGAGCGGCGAACATTTCCACTGTGCACTCCTTCAGCTGCAGGGCGATCTGATTCGACCGCGGTAGGTCCCAGAAAGAATCGCCGAGCTGAACACCACGCAATTTCACGTAACACAGAACTTCGAAAACACCACGTCGCCCTTGCTCCGCCGGTCGAGGCAACCGCCATCTTGAAACTGGCGCTCTCGTTGGTGTCCGAGATCTCTCGAGAGCGTCCCGCAAGGCCCGCTAGCCAGCGACGCAAAATCCCCAGCGTTGCGTGCGTACGCAATACGCTAGCCCTTCTATTGCGTTCTGCGCATGCGCACTCACGACCCGCAATATTCTTGCGTACGCAAAGCTATAGCGTACGGTCCACTAAAACTGTCTATTAAGGGTGCGGGCGAGCTCGTGAATGTTAACCCTGTTGAATAAACCTGAGACGGGCTGGGACTGGGAGCCCCATGTGTCAGGTTTATTCAACACGGTTAACTCTGAGTTAACGTTGAAAAAAGTGAGTGAAGTGCGCACCGTCGAAGAAAGTTGGATGACAAAACTGCGCCGCGAGCTCCGCCGGCCATTCTGAAAGAACAGGAAACAGAAGATAGATGAGACGCTTCGAGAAGGTTTGATTTCGCCAGCCGCAAAAACTTCCGAAACAGCAAGAAAAATAAATTGTACAAAAAGAAGGCGTGGGGGAAAGGCGCGGGACATTTCCATATTCGTTCCCCCCCCCCCCCCCCCCCCCCCTCCCCCAGCACAAAAATCGCAGTAAAAAAAGTCTGGCTCTTCGCGGAGCATTGCTAATTTTCCCTTTTATGTGGAGAATTAAAATATATGCAGGTGTATTCTAGATTAGATTTTTGTTATCTTATCAAGATGTACCCGTTTCAAATGCCAAACGCACCGCTTCTTCCCCCGACAACCAAATCGTGCAAGAACAACTTTGCGCGGCGTTTTTTTTGATGTTTTTTTTTTTCTTGAAGTGAAAACGAGTATACAGGCACGTAGCCAAAATTTTGTTTCGGGGGGGGGGGGGGGGGGGGGGGGGGCTTATGACATAATGCTGTATGAGGGGGAGAGAAGATCCCAGCAAAATGAAAGATTTCGGGGGGGGGGGGGGGGGGGAGCCCGAACCCCCCCCCCCCTCCCTTTCCACTTTTTTTGCCTAGGCGGCCCATAAACTTGTGCAACCGCAAAATGTAGACTTAACAAGAGAGTGGTACTATGAAGTGCATCATCGAATGTACTGCGAGAGCAAACTACTCCTTTAGATAAAAGGTGCCACTGTGGAGAAAATGGTTCTTTAATTACGTCAAGAAAGGTTTGATTCTAACCAAAGGTCGCTTTGGAACGTTCTATCTCGTCAAAAATGCTTTCCCTAGAAGAAGTAAAGAATGCAGGAGAATCAGTCGTCCCGGGAAAGCGTGTTCTTGTCTGGCAGGGAGAAAAACGGAAAACGTTCTTTGGGCAAAGGAAACCCAAAACGTACAAGCCGCAAGAAAGTAGAAGAAACCTGCAAGTGGCTTCTTCGTTCGAGGAAACTGAATGTGATCCTCTGGAGTGGAGGAACTTGCGCCAGCACGAGTTTCCGCACCTCATTATTGTAGCGCAGTTCGTCCATGCAATCTCAGCATCACGTGCACCGACGGAGACTTCTCATTAGCGGGTATTAATTTAAAAGAGACGAACAGCCTGAATCCGTCCATGATGGAAGTATTCTGTATCTTTTTTTCTGGACAGAGCGTCAGTGTCGCGGATTCCCAAGACGATTTCGTAACTGCGATCATATTTCCAGCGATGCGAAATGTCTCTGGAAGAATGATCGCTTATTATATAAATACGATAAAACAGAATACGATAAAATGACTTTCACCGTATTCTGACACGAAGAGTTCGTTGTACAAAAGTAAGCAGACGGCTTAAAAAATACCACCCAAATGTTTTTTTGTTTTTTTTTTCTATTTGATGTGAAAGGTTGTGCGGATTGAGGGGGGGATGAGGTTTCGAATTTTGCGGATGCGGTTCGAATACGAATACGAATTGTCTGCGGATGCGGATCGGATGATGAAACTTATATATGCGCAGTGCTCTGGGCATATCTTTATGATGGTTAGCATTTTTAATTTGCACATATCGAAGAAACCGTACGGCGAAGGTTTGCCTCATCTCTGGTCAACATGTGGGCAAGATCTCATGGTTCGGGAACACGGGAGCTGCGATCTGCGCAATCACTTCAATCGATTAAACAAGTCCAAACGGTTCTCTTCTTTCTGTTTGCGAGCTGCTGATCCGTCTTCCTCAGCAGCTGGATGTTTCGGAAGGAGAGCAGCCTTGCGACGTGAATTTATGCCGCGAGACCCGGAGTAATCTGCAAAGCCCCACCCGTGTGCCTCGTGCAGCGGTCACAAAGGGCGGGAAGTCGTGCTGCGAGTTCCAGAATTCGGATCGACGAGTCACTGAGTACGCAGGGCACGGAGTGGTGCGACGAGGCCAGAAACACGTGCGCGCCCGCTCGTATAAACAAAACTTAAAAGAAAAAAAAAGCATTTAAAAGTCAATTGTTTAGCGCTCTAGCTCGCGTAATGTTTCAACATCATTACAAAAAAAAAATAAGAAAAAAATTTTTCATTTTGCGTTTACGGTGCCGGACATGTAGCGCCCTCTTTGGACTTGAACGCGAAGTATTTCGATACCACAACTTTAAATGATTTGAAATTACTTTAAATCAGATAAAATAATAGTGTGTTGAACTGCTCGCCCGGGATACGTGTTTATTGGCGCCATTAAATTGCAAAATTTGGCTGTGGGTTTATGGGTGGGTTGAATATTTTACGCGAAGAATAAAGTAAGACAAAGCAGTGAGTGCGCAGGCGAGCTGGTGGATGTTGATCATGATGTAGAAAACCCGAGACTGTGGTAAAAGCAGGGAACTCGGTCGAAGAAGGACAGGAAAAAAGAACGTTGAGACGTTCTTTTCCCCTGTCCTTCTTCTTCGACCGAGTCTCCCTGCTTTTACCACAGTCTCGGATTTTCTACATCATGATCAATAAACTAAGCCTTTTCTTTAGACATTTCTGTTCGGATAGGATAAGTATTTTTTAAACGCGAAAAATCTATAATACGCCATCTCTAATGCCGCCATAAAACTGTCAACGCTCTCCATGGTTTGAGTTGAACACACTCCTACTTGAGGCTCTCTACTTTAAATGATGGCCACTTCCGCCATCTGGTCGGGGTGGTATGCTTCAGTTACCAAATGACCTGCTCCCTGAGGTCAAGAGACCACCCTAGCATTAAGGAGAATGCGGGGAATGTACGTCTACATGCTGCATGGGCTTGCATCTGCAGCAGTAACTGCTCTAAGCAAAAGCCTAAACCAATCGGCCTTGTGATGCCGCCATAACTGTAGTCCATAGGAGACGGGCGCCTGTGCACGAGACAGCCCGTGCCGCCTCGTGATCTGCTCGCGCAGGCTGTCGGCGGGGTTGTCCCGCGTACAGCAAAACTACAGATCCCACGATGCATGGCGGCAGCGGTGGCGTAATCAACTTGGCTGCGAGATCAGTCTATTGAACACTTACACCAACAAGTCCCCGAGCATTAAAAAAAAAAAAAAGTGCATAATGTGGGACATATAGTCACAGCAAGAAGCAGGGCCCATGAAACAGACCAGTTGTTGCTTACGGCAAATGTTGTGAAATCAGCAGTTCAACAAGACACTTGTTGAATCGCTGAAACAGTAAATCTGGATGCAATGAAGTGTGCAGGTCATGCACTTCATGGCGAGTGAAGAAACAATCCCACTATCCGAAATAACACAAACGCAAATCGTTTTAGTCGTAAGAGTCATAGGTTTATTATCAAGTGCAGTATGCATAATCGTCTCTAAAACCACAGATGGTGAATCTTGCTTGCATGATCAGCGTTACCAATCAATGTCAAAGAAAAAACTAACTGAAGCGTTCTAGCACATTCTTGTAAGCAGCCCTTGGGAAAATCAGCGCTTTCTAGCTTTCTTTGTAGTTTCTCGAAACTTGTCCTTGTGCTTGTGCCTCTTGCTTCGGGTGACCACAGGTCCTAAATGAAGGAGTAACACGTTTAGAAGAAGCATGCTTGCTGTACTAAAGCACAGTGAATAAATCACTATATAGAAAATCAGACAATACGAGCTGAAACACTCGATCCGGCCATTTCCTGTGTCTGAGGTCCCCACAAGGTTCATTATCTTACTATGTCAAATAGTCTGAAATACGACACCTCAACTTAGCATTTCATGTAAGTATTGTAGATATCGCAATAAAATATGCAGGAGTGTATGTACATATGTCTGAATGAATGGCAAATATGTTGCTGTTTTCAGCTACATGGCTTGCTCCCTGGTAGACTTCAAAGCAATGACTGCCAGCACACCACAACACACAATCCAGCACAATAGACTTGTCTTGATTTGTCTGCTTCAGTAGATGTTGACTGCTTCTATAAATACAGAAGTTGCTGGGACTTTTATGGGTCTGAATGCTCAAACCAGGCTACACAGTACGGTGTGTAGCTGTTTCTAGTATAGACAAAATACTCCAAGAAAAAGGATCAGATGCAACAAATGCTCCAAATGTCTGTAGGATACTGAATTCCCATGCAGCCCAGTCATTAGACTGGGAGAGACCAATTTCATGTCCAACTAAAAAGCATTCTCTCACATTACATGCAAAATCGTTCTGAACGGTACCACAACCTGATCCTGCTGTGAATATTTCATTGGTCAGATAAGCTGTAATCTGAAATTCATTGCCCGTTTTTCTGCTTACAAAGGTGGCACAGACAAAAGCAGTGCTTTCGTTGAGTGACAGTAGGCACTACAGTAACTGGAAAGTGTGAATACACAATACTGTTCATAGCAGAGGTACAAAAAGCTCCCTGAAAATCGATTGAAAAATATTCTCCACAAAAATGCCAGGTCAGTGAGACTACTTCATAAACTAAGCAGATTATGATTACAAAAAAACACAGCACTTTCCCACACAGGAGAGAATGAACTCCGTAGAAACATCCACATTCATAATGGCTGCACAGTCCTTTTATAAATAGTTTCTGGCACTCACCTAAAATCAGAGTTAAATACAGAAAATAATCAGGGGCTGGTTGCTTTGTGCTAGATTCTTTTTAGAATATCTTAAGAGAACTGAGACAAAAAATAAAATAAAAGGTAACTCAGAAAATAAAACATATTTGCTCTTTGTTTTAAGTATCATACTGCTTTTCTTCATGTCCACACCTGCACCGTAAAAACTCATAGTTTTGGTTTTAATGTGTTCCTATGTTTATCTTTGAAGTGAAACATAGACAGCATCCCTCTCCTCCACCTTTCTTGTGTGTCCTTCTGAAAAGGTCTCAGGATTAGGTTTACGAGTGCCATGTTTACATCTACTGTGTTTTATGTGTGCTATGTGCGCATGCCTTATGTTTGGTCTGTTTTCCGTTCCATTCTCGATCATACTGTGAACCTCACTGTTTTGTTCAAATATGACCCACAAGCTCAGATGAAGCATCTAGATTTCGTGCAATACAGGGTTCCCCTTGGCTTTCTTCTCTGAAAACGTGGAGTGTTTGTCAGCCTTTAACGGTTTGAGTGAGAAGCACAAATTTGCGTGAAAGGTGCGAGTGTGTGCAAGTGTGTGTGAGAGTGTGAGGTACACATCGCAACACTGTTAGCACGAACACGACATCGGCACACTTTCGCATTTTGCTCCTAAATAGTATTAGCGAGCACGAAATTTTATTGCTTACATTATAGAACTAAATGAGCTCTTTCCATAGCAATAACTACTTGGATGACATACTTTGGTTTCAAAGAGAAAAACTGGAAAAACCGGCGATTGCTTGTTTGCGCTAACAGTGTCGCGCTCTGTACATGACTTTGAGGCAGGGACAGGATATTGAGTGAGGGACGCAAGTTTGCAAGTTCAACTGAGAGACCTAAAGGGCCACTTATCCACTTTCTGGGATAGTCTATTTACGGTCATAACTCAGTCTATGGGCTTTAAGCATCCTGAAAAAGAACAAAAAACATTACATTAATGCGGGGCTGACTTCTCTAATAAAATTGGTGTCAAAGATTGATTACCCCAGCACTATTGCTGATACCGGATGGTGCTATCAGACAAGGAGAAGGGCTTCTCTGCTTCTCCTCCTTTAATGGCGCCATCTGGTGTCAGTGGTAGTTTCGAGGTAATCAATCTTTGATACCAATTTCAATAAAAAAAAGTCGGCTACGCATGAATGTAATGTTTGGCTTTTTAGTATGCTTAGAGATCATAGATAGAGTTATGACCATGAATGTACTATTGCAGAAAGTGGTTTAGTACCCCTTTAAGGACCCCCACTTGAACCCACAATGACTACGACCTCCTTTCGCACATTGAGCCCCGCGACTGTTCGACACATGCATGTGCGACGTTTAGCAAAAATAAAACAATTTTGACTGACCTGAGCCAAAAGGTGTAAAGCGCTGGTGAGCTGAGTGGTGCACTGAGTTGCCGTGTGACTCTTGCCGACTGGTGAAGATCTTGGGGGTGAAGCCCTCTGGAAGCTCCACCTTTTTTGTGAGCACTGCCGAACCGGCCAAGCAACATGGCACTGGCAACCAACAAACACACGGAACATGGCTGCAGTGGGCACGACATTCCAACACAGGGAACTTAAAAATTACCTACCCAAACACAGCTGTCCCGTAATAATGACTGCTAGTTTCATAAGAAGTGATCTCGTATCCGTCCATCTTAACTTACCTCCAAAACAACTTTTAGGTCAAAACTGAAATGAATTTAGGTCAATAGAAACACAGTCAGAGTATTTGTTATAACAGGTGCAAATCCCCGAAATTTTTTTGCTATGCATGGACCTGATTCCCACGCACAATGTCAAATTTGTCAATTTCGTGTATGACGTTTAGTATAACTTTAGTTATATTATGCAGCTCAATATAAGTAGGTCTCACTTATGAGAACCATCTCTAAGGGAAAAAATAAATTTGAATTTTTGAAGTTCCCATGACAATTCCGCTTGGCTTTCAAATGATTATTTTAACAAAGGAAAAAATGAACAATTTTTGTTCTCCAACAAACTGCAGACTGCCTGCTTGCTCATCCTTGGATTGAACAAGATGTCTGACATTTCTTGAAGTAAAATGGACCCCCACCGCTAACTCACCCAAGATGTTTTGGCCATCTTCATTGGACAACATTGCCACACTCAGGGTTTTCGTATACTAAAAAACAGCAAGAAAAAACAAACAAGAATGCATTGAAACTTCCAGCACAATATTGTAGATTGAGAATAAAAAAAGTTAATGTCTGCCTACGATCAGCTGGCTAGCCACGGTTCTGTGAAAGTGAAAACCAGCATTTCAGTTTGCTGATTTCGCCAAAACCATGACAGAGATTGCAAACACCAATTCCCCTGATTATCATCTTATTTGCTTTGCCAAAATAAATAGAACATGTGGTTCCACCAATCTTTCTTGGTTTTGACAGAAGTGGACTGCTTGTAAGAAAGTAGACACCTAAATTTTTAACTCTCCAGACAGCAAATTGTGCACACTTCATTTTAATAAAAAAAAAAACAGACGTCAACCATCTTGCTGCATGTTAGCGAAAAATGAAGACACACTCAGCGATGCTATGCCTATTAAAAGTTTAATGACGCAACAACAGCTAAGAAAATACTTTGTCACTTAGTGATGAGGCCAATTTATGTGGCTTAATAAACTGATGTTGCAATAAGATTACTCAGTGCATAGTTCAAATGACTAAAATACCTCAAAATGATTATGGTATAGTTTGTCCTCATTCGTTTGCTCTAACTGTTCTAGCCACTACTTCGGCTAGTTTGTCTCAATGGAACCACGGACAAGTTTTGAGGTGAACACTAGTTAAGACAGATAAGGAAACTGCATCTTACTTCTGTTTCTGCAGTCCTCGAAAACGTGTAGCTGTTGTTGCCTATCCGCACAACCTTTTCATCGCTGTTCCGCAGGGATATTTCGAGGCCGTTCAAGTCTGCAATGTTCACCTGAGAAACGGACAAGCGGGTTCTTAAACGCTGTTTCAGTCAAATGGCTCCACACCTGTTGGTGTCAACAGCACTGAATCATCAAGCAATAATGTAACAGTTCTAGAGGTGAAAAAATGCACCTGCATGGTCTTTTGTCTCGTATCATTTGTGTTTTCGCACTGCCAGCATTGCACCCATTGCACGATTGGTAAATTTAGCGAACACAGTGCTCCCCACGTGTCCCAAATATTTCTAAAATTTACTTATTTGGTGCTTTTCGATGATGCTCAGCAAGTTTCTATTTGAAAACTTAAGTTTATTTTCCCTAATTAGAAAGTGAATGAACAAATATTCAATATTGATTTATCGTGACGATTATCTCCCTAGATTATGACACCCAGTCGTATAACTTGCCCGCAAAAACTGCAATAGTGTAGCTTCTCACGGTTCTTTTAAAACAAATCTGTAAAGCATAAAAAAAACAGAAACATTCTGTATGATGCTTCAGAGGCCTTAAAAGGGCCATGAAATGAATTTTGGACTGGAATAAATTAATTTAGATTGCGGTTTTAGCACCAGTGTATCATCTAGTGGGCCAAAAGAAAGAGGGTAGAAAGTCAAAAGCCTGCTTTTTGGTACGAAAATCTGAAAACACAGCGGACTAATTCGTACCTTCCTTCGAAAGCTTTCCACCTTTTCACTGCGATACATCCGCGATACCCAAAGCACGTCAGACGAGTGCAGCGTTACTATATCCTGCTCTGGTCACCCCTAAGCTGACAGTGCGGTGGGAGCTACGCACTTGCCGGACCAATCAGCCGTCTCCCTTTCATCTCCCAACCCCATTCTCAGCACGTGGGTATGCGCGAGGGAGCGTAATCACAGGGCAAAAGATAGAAGTGTGGCTGGCCCAACGAGCACATAGCTTCCAACGCCAGAAGCTGTGGGGGGGGGGGGGGGGGGGGGGGGGGGGGGGAAGCAACTTTTGTCCACATTTCGAGCAATGGGCTGATCTTCTAGGGGGAATTGGCGACGTCTGGGTACACAAACGAGAGTCCGAGGAAGGGGGGAGTTCTACTTTCCCTCCTCTTCTGGTAATGCTGCGCGATTTGCGAGCTGAGGAGGAAAGCTAAGAAGGAAGTAGTTGAAAAATCATTTCATGGCCCCTTTAAGGACAGATAAATAAAATAAAGAATACATATTCGAGTCAAGTTATACAAATGCTACCCCATTTCTGTTGACGGAGATCGTATACCTCAAAACTGAACTGAAAGTTGCTTTGTCATCTCTGGCCGCAAAAAGCCGCAGAGTACCTCGTTGGGCGTCTGGAAGAGCCAGATCCGCTTCTCTTCTGCGCCAACATTTTCCAGGGAGAGCGGGTTTTCCTTGACAGAACTGAAGCCGCTCGGAACTTTGTAGCTTAGAGAAGGAAAGAAGCGCAAGTGACGGCAAATTAGCAACCAAGTTCGCCAAAGTTTACCGAATTACATTCATCGAGCAGTGTCTCGGCAAGCGAACATTTCGTCGGACGACAGAGCAAGCTCAATTATACTTCATGGATGTTCCACTCCAGACCCACTCTTTGAAAAAACAAACTTGGCATGCTTAGCAACCACAACAGTCACTGACAGGGTGAGAACAGCAGGGTAGTCTTTCAGTTGTCTCGTCTCCAGCGTAAGCTTCCCACCTTCGATAGCGCTATGACGTCTTACGAGTTTCAAGCATAGAAGAGCAGCCAATGCAGAACGGAAGACTGGCGCGAGCATCCCAAAGAGACGTACTGCCATTCCATCCTGTCTGCCGAAATGGAAGCCGCCTTTCGCTAAAGCAACACTCAATTAAACTGCAATGCGTTATAACTGTTAATAAAATCGCGAAAAGCAGCAAGAACAACTGAAAGAGCTGCGTGTGTTGTCCTCTGTCTTTGTAACTCACTCAACACTCGTATGATCCGCGACCAGAGGCCATGCGAGAGTAAGCACGACCACGAGTAGCATTCGATTCAGTGTATATCGGCATCAAAATTGATAAGGTCACTGGCAGATAAGGTAATGGGCAGCTCATTCCACCGCGTACGCGCCACAGCCCAGAGCTTCGAAGTTTGTCTAAAAACTTCGGAGCTGGCGGGCTTTGAACACTTCTTAGAACGAGCATCGTTGAGGCTCTGTGGCGTGGCTTTATTGGACCAAATCTGCACGTTCGGGGCCACAAACTTCGAGCGCAGCGAAACGCTGCCCGGATACCAAAATAAAAGCACGTGCGAGGTGAGTAGCAAACAACCCAGCTTGCGGTTACGGCAATACGTATGACTGTATGTATTTGTACCTTTTCGTGGACGTCGCAGCACTTGGCATAGTTTGGTCCGCGAAATCAGATGCCAACAGCGAAATCAGACGACAACCACGGGGAACCTAACCCGCAAATATTGGAACCAGATGTGTGGATTGGATTGGCTTGTGAAGACAGCCTTTCAGAGCGACGAGAGCGACAAATATCGCCTACTAAAAAGGTAGAAGTTAAACAAATAATTTAGTTTAAAATATTACAAAAAATACCACATAGATACAAACTCGCTTAAAAGGAAAACGTTTTTCAGTCAGCGAGAGGAGCAGGCGGAATTTTCGCAAAGATAAAACGCATAGGTCCCGCAGGGCTACGTAGTGCAACGCGCCGCCCAATTAAAAGGTTGAAGCCGTATGCTGTGCATCCATCAAAGTATGTATGCATGCATCCATCCATTCATTCTCTTTCATTATCGCATCGTATCATCGTGTGTGACCTCGCCGGGAGATTTCTGGGGGGACCGCAAAACTTTAATGGGTAGTGAAAGTGTAGTGAACTGCCGTCGTCCCGATCGATAGAAACCGCCCTCCACGAAAACAGCGTCCACCGCAGGCGAGTAACCCCGACCTCCAGCACAGTGCATGCCCACGAAGCGGCCCGAAATGGTGGTCGGCGCATTCCCTATCGCCAAGCTCGCCGCGCTCGCCTTCCGGCAGCTGAGCAAGCCGCTCGCGAACCACATCAAAGCCGGCGCCAAAAAGAGCCCCTTCTTCCGAACCTACGTGTGCATGCCGCCGGCCCAGATCTACCACTGGATCGAGGTGAATGTCAAGATGCGCATCCTCAACCTGGGCCGACCCACCGACGTGCCCAAGCTCAACGAAGCCATGGCCATCGAACTGGGCTCCGAACTCCTCGGCGAAGTCATCATCTTCACGTCCGCCGCCGCCACCCTGGTCGCCGAGTACGTACGGCAAGCGCGCAACGAGCGCCTCAAGGAGCAGGCCAAGGAAGACAAGCATTGCTGCCTCGAACGCGAGGTGGAGGAGCTCCGCTTCCTCGCAGAGATGCACGAGGCCCAGATAAGGCACCTGTCCAGGCTCGTAGGTGACAAGAGCGGTGGCCCGCCGGTGGGCTTGCCGACGACGAGGAGTGCGACCACATCGACCGTCGAGGCCGGGAAAGTCGCCGAGGTCGCCGCGACTCGAGGAGCAACGCGTGGCTTAGCACCCCATCCGGTGGCCGGCGACCCCAGTGCCACCCATACTCACAGCTGTGAATGTGATGCAGTCGACGGAGACCGCGGCAAGACGACGCCCAATGGGACTGTAGTCAGGGCGGTCGATGAAGCCACGTCCACCCTCTTAGGAGCTCGAGCTAGCAAGTCGTAGCCAAGACGTCGCCGAGAGACAAAAAAGACACCGGGTTTTTCCTTTTCGGTTTTGCTTTTTATTTGAGCCCCTCCTTAGCGAAAAAAATGTTCTGTACTATACAAGAAGTGTATATATATATAGGAAGCGGCCAGTGCGCGACTTGAGTGGCAACTGCAGCCCTTGTTTATTTTTCTTCCCTTAGGTGCAATAAAACAATGATGCTTCTTTTTGGCACACACTGCAACTAAACTCTTGTGGTCTTTTCTTGCACCCAATTTGTTGAGTTCCACACGGCTGTTCAACACTCCCGCTAGGAAGCTGCGCATGACTGTGCTCCTACGAATTTGCAGGAACTCTTTGGCTTTGCAACTCCAGCTCGCATGAGAGTGTAGAGTCTACCGAGTGTTTGAGGTTGGGCACCATCCCTTGGTACCTGATATCACCGAAACAACAGTTTGCGAACTCTTCTCAGAGAAGAGCAAAACACTTTGACAAGGAACCAGTCAAATATTTGGCACTGGTAACGACTACAACAAACAATTCAGGATGCCTCTCGTGACTTCGTTTACAACTTCCCCGGCCAACTTAACAAAATGGTAACACAAACAAGAATGATACTGGTATGTCTGACCCCCCAAAACACCTTTTGCATCCTAAAAGACCAAGTTACTTCCCAATCCATGTTCTTGACTGATCCAGAGTGTTAATGCCATACATACGTCCGACTCAAATGCTGCCAAAGAAAGCGAGCATTAAACTGGCACATTGTTTTCAAATTTCCCGGTTTGTTATGTCCTGACCTCATCGTTGTTAAAATTTCCAGGCTTAGTAATTGTATGCAGATTTGCCACCAGGTGCCAACACAGTAGCTTCGTTCGATTTACTTAAACCTCCTGCACCGGTGCAGAAAAGTGTAAGGCAGTGTACTTTCGGTCGTATCTCGATGCACATATCGGAAGTACACCGCCCCACACTTTTCTGCACCGGTGCAGGTAAATCGAACGAAGCTAAAGTTTCTCTCGTCTGGAAGAGGAATGGCCGACCATTACTGACGTGGCTAGGAAACCTTAACTGTATAACACGGTTTTGCAACGAGACAAAAGATAACAAAAGGCGAATCATCAGGCAGTCTTGGGAGGCGTATAGTAGTGAGTAGGCACAAACGGCATCTTGGCAACAACGGCGGGAACCATCTTGCCGCGCACTTGCAGTTGCAGTGGCGTGCCGATCTTGGCGCTGGCAGTCGGCACGTAACCCATAGCAATGTTTGCGCCGACGCTCGGTGACGGGCATCCGCTCGTCACGGCGCCCAGTGCCTTCTGGCCGGATTCGTCGTAGATGGGTGCACCACCTGAGTGAAACAATGGACCCCTTTCAAAATGACCAGTGCCCCCTGGTGGAGAACTGGATGAAGGGTTCCCAGGATGAAACAATCTGCGCTATTAGGAAGGAGAGAAAAGAAGCATCTTTGAAAGAATCTGGGAACGAAAGCCACACTTTGTAGAGTCCCTTTGCATAGTCAATTGTTTACGCGGAGCATCCGTAACAGGAGGGCTCTTTAGTTGCAGGTATGGTGACCGAGACACATCTTTGACTGCCATGTTCGGCGTCCTATCCCTTTCCTACGTCAAAAGAGGTCCTGAAGTGATAACAAATGACTTGAGGGACACCTTCCTAGGACGCGGTAAGCACACTGGTCTGACACTTGTTTAAAACACCATAGTTGCGGGTAACCGCAAAGGGTGTCCCCGCACCTGCAGAGAGACACGTTGCACAGTGTATATCATCGAGCCACTTACAGCGAGCTGGAGCACCCGACTTTGCGACGATGCCGACCCTCTTGCGTGCAGGTTTCTGAGCGAGCTGCTCCAGAATCACTTTGGCCCCCGGGAAGTCGGCAGTCTGACGCCGCCGCTTGCCTGCGCTCACAGACAGGGTTGCCACTTCAATCCACAAATAAATCTTACATTTTAGATCTACGACTCCCACTCTGCCGGGATCACTGTGTCTCCGGGGGAAATTATTGGTATGGGAACACTCAGGGGCGAATGCAGGAATTTCCTGAGGGGGGGGGGGTCAAGTGTTGGTCAGCGTACCACATGTTTAGGAACCCCCTCCCCCACTCCCTCGTTTAACGCCCGAAATTTTACACAAGCAGAAATCAAGCGGGGGGTAAGGAGATCCGGACCCCCCCTCTAAATCCGCCCCTGGGAACACCCAATATGGCAGAAACTTGAAAATTGATCATAAGCACACTAGATAACGCTTTTTGTTGCATACGGCCTATAACAAAGAGGGAGTTAGCTAGTAAACATATAATTCAAACGGCGCAAAAAAAACACAGGGACAAGTTGAAGAAGGATGCAGATACAGTGCTGTCTGTTCATGGGTGCCATGGAGTCAGCTCCATGGCATCCACGCTTGTTGAAAACCCGCCTGAACCAAACGTTCACAGTTTTTATGCGGATCACTTTTAAAAAGAAACCAAACTCGCAATAAAATATTTTTTCAAGTGCCCCGATAGGGGGTACATAATCACTGGACGCTATATTTGAGGGGATGTTTAGAGCACATGCTCAGAATGAGCTTAGATTACTAGGCTGCTAAGACTGGCAATCTTGATGGTGCAAAAGGCACGTTGCACAAGTACAGTTAAAGGCCCGCCGTCGGCACGCGCTTAGCAGTTGGGCACACAGCTATGGCCGCCACTGAATACTCCCTATAGGGCACTTTCTTCTAAAAAAAGACAAAACAAATCTCAGTGCAATATTCAGTTCACGATTCATGAGCGATTCCAAAACATGCTTCTATTATGGGGTTGACGTCTCGAAATAGAGCTTCCCAATCACCCCTAACTCAAAATGAGGCGTGCAGTGTAAACACTAAATCAATTTTTGCTTTTTCCTTGTAACATTTATTTTGTAAGTACATACATGTCCTATCTGGGGAACTTAAAAACATTTTTTGGGGGAGTTCGGTATTTCATTATGTGTAGAAAGTAATTATTACGAATCGGTGACAATTTTGTTTTTAACTACTCTCATAAAGGGAAGCTGACGCACTTTTCACAAAATCTGAGTTCGGAGAAAACATTTATATCTTTTTGTCCCATGAAATCAGTTATTGCACTTATCTTGGGCAGGAGTAAACGTAAACCACATTCATTTTGAAAAATACATGCCCCGATTGCTGCCAGGCGTGCGGCAATCCTCTCTGCCGCCTGTTATCTGTCCAGACCGTCATGACGTCATTGTCGGAATCCCCGAGCCAGCTTGGTGGCAGAAAGGGTCATCTGAACTTGCCAATGACGCCACCTTTGCTAGTTTTTCCCTCCGCTTTCGCGCTTTCATACCCTCGGCGCGCCGCAATGTGCGGGTCTACGTCGAACTTTGAATCGGCTATTATGACGCTTCTACTAATAAGATCGAAAGAAAACTTACGACATATAACTTTTAAAGTGTCTATATTACGACTTGCACTGTTTGTTCAAATTCATGGACCTCTTCAGCTTCCTTTTAAAAGGTCCTCCTCTATTCTCCATAAAATCCAGATATTTTAGAACCTCGGGAGGATATATTAGAAACATCGCTGTTGTGGTCCGTGTGGATCCAGTTCAGGTTCAGGGGAGGATGGTTTCTTGTCGTTTGAGTTCGAAGCGAGTTTCTGTCTTTACTAGTAGTACCGTTGTGGATAAGAAGGCAAATGCTCTCCTTCTTTTACTCTGGTGTTTCCATCTCTTAGCGGCATTTCCCATTTAGGCACCTTTCGAGGGAAATAAAATTCAGCCGTGTTCGAGAAGTTTCGTGTCTGTGTCGTCGATCCTCTGCTTACCTACAGTCTCGGGGTTGCGTCATGTCTTAGAAACACAAAAGCTCTCTTATCTTCGTCCTATGGATAAAGGCGATATACACAAAATGTGTTTCCACAGCATCCTTCAAGGTTTGTGGTGGACATTGCAATTTTTTATTTTTCTCTTTGGAATAGCGTGTTATTTTATTCCAGACTCTGTCCATCTTTATGTGATGGTAAACATGTCTTGGACGCCTTGTTTCTTCCCATAAACAGTTCAAATGCGAACGACAAATGCCGTCCTTCGAGCAGTTAGTAGAGAACACCATGGTAGATAATCCGGCTACCATAAAATACTGCAGAATCGCCCACTTTGTTCAAGCTCCCACTATTAAGATGTTCCAAACGTGGGAATTCTGCAAAAAAATATGTTAAGTGCCTGATTTGACCGGACAAGCACCCGTGTCCAGATTAATCAAGTTTTCAGTGAAAGTGAAGTGGGCGTTCCCCTGGTATTTTACAATAGCTTTGCGTCTACCCACTAATCAACATCTGGCAAAAAAAACCCAAAAAACAATAATTGTTGCAGTGGTAGAATGTCGAGCTCATGATCACAGGGTTGCAGGTTCGATTCCCTATGAGGCGCGTTTCCAATTTTGTTCTTTCTTCCCAATTATGCGTTCACTTGTACAGATTGTCCCCCCAACCCTCAAAAGTCTCCTTCACTCTTGTTTCACCTAAACTGGAATATGCTTCATCCTTCTAGCATCCCCACCAATTTCTCTGTGACGCAATTGAAGTCAACCAAAATCGTGCAGCTTGTTCTGTTGTTTTCTATTACTCCCATTTCTCTAGTGTCGCTGCAACGAAATCTCAACTAATCCTTTCCGATCTTACCTTCCCTTATAAAATATCTAGCCTTCGGCTTTTTCACAAGGTGCATTAGTCCCCACTTATAAGAAAGTCTCTCCTTAGCCCACGCACCCGCGTTTCTTCAGGACTGGACCACTAGTGCAAAATGGCCAGACCCAGGACCAATGCCACGCCCACCGGCATTCGCTTCTACCCTAATCCATCGTGGACCGGAACAGTCTTCCCGACGATATCGTCGCCATTGCCGTCAACGCCGAGCTTTGCCTCGCACTAACCGGCCACTTCCCCTCGTAATGCCCCTGGGGCAATAGGACATTCGTAAATAAATAAATAAATAAATAAAAAAGTATTCGTTACACACTTTGGAATGATCTCCGTGGCATTCCTAACCTTCCTCGGGGCTCCCAGCCCTCGAGCACATTCCGCGATGATAATTTTCCAGCTTCCTCGCAAAACAATTTTGGGCGGGGAACGCTCACCGATGGTGAAGACGAGCCCGGCCTCGACGGGAGACGTGTCCATCCCGATGTCCTGCCCGTAGAGACAGAGCCCGGCCTCCAGCCGCAGGGTGTCCCTGGCCCCCAGGCCGGCCAGTTCCAGGCCTTCCAGCCCCACCAGGGCAGACGCCAGCTCCTCTGCCCGCCCGGCCGGCACGGAGATCTGCCACGACAACGAGAACCGCTACGGTGCTGGGACGTGTTTGGCAACGCAGGACGTCACAAAAGTCGGGAGCGTCGTGCTGTCGAGCGTCATGATCCTGGCGCTTCGGCGTGGAAGTTTTTTAAAAGCAATGCTGAACCGAAATTTGGAGCTCACAGAACAAGGCTGGAGTGAAAGGAGGGACGCAGCAAAACCCCAAAACATCACTCATACAGTGATATCTCTAACAGATGGCCATATATTTGAAAGAGAAGTGCACGAATGAACATGGCCGACAAAACCAACGAGACACGCGACGTCGCAATTCTCATTCCCTCTTCTCTTCGCTTGGTTCCTTCGAGTTGCCTCGAGCAGGTGAACTGGAGCGAGGAAGAGAGAAGCAAGACTGCTTCCCCCCCAGACTCATCTGTTTAAAGAGAATCGTGACGTCACATTCCTCGCTCGATCGTGCCCTTCTTTTCCAAAAAATACGGCCATCCGTTTAATATATCGATGTACGAGTGATGTTTCGGAGTTCGTAGCGTCCCGTTCAACGCTTCTGCGGCCTTATTTTGAGAAATCAAAATTTCGGTCCAGCATCCCTTTAACCCCTCGAGCGTTCTCTCATGCGGGTGCTCTCCCACGTAGCTTTCGATTTTCCCCCTACCTCTTGCAACTAGGCCGCGAATTTAATTTTTTGTGCAGAGCGACGTTTTGTTTTGTGACAACGCTCGTCAACAGCACGCAGGAAGTTTCGTTTCATGCAATTTCGTCTCGGATTGCTCTTTCGTCGTTCCAGAAAGACGAGCCTACGTTGTCTAACCTCGCTTTTTACGGAGAACGCAGAGATAGAGAAATTAATATAAAACAAACAAAATACAGAAGTCTCAGTTCCGAATAAAAAAAAAGTGTCGGTTAAGGTCGCTCAAAAAGAGCAACCTTCGGGGTGCGAGGACACCAACCTTTCGTGGCGGTTGGCTCCAAACTCGCTAGGCAACGAACACGTGTCCCTACACACCTCCCCAACGGCGCTTATCGCTCGGGTAAAAAATGCCGAGTCATCTCACTGTGAACACGTGTGCGGTGTGCAATGTTTCGGAGAACGGAGCTACTGTGCGTGCTCGGGATGCGTTCCACGGCCAACTGGAAAAGGACAATGGCACGCAGAAGGCGCAAAAATGAATGGTCTACGGGTGTTTCCGAGTTACATTTGGGCATAAAAGTGTTTCCATAAATAAACCAACGAACTGAGTGCAATGAAACTTCACGCAAAGGTGTGTTCAGGCGGTACATTCAGCGTACACAAATTTCACAAGCGTTAATTTTAGAGAAAAAAATTTAGCCTGAAAAACCTTTTCTTTTTCTCTATGCACATGCAAGGAGGAAAACGGTAAAAACTATATGGTCAACACTGTTGCTCACAGACGATGCAACATACAAAGCACAAACGTGAAAGATTCTTTGAGATGAACAAGCGAAGACAGGTTCAGCAGATCTGAACGTGTGTGATGCCTCTGCGAGTAATAGCGTCAACCACTCCGTATTTTCCCTCTTACTCTCTGTGTATAAAAAACAAAAACAAAAAAAAAAAAACAAGATTTTTTAGATTAAACAATTTTTTTTTCTTGAAAGCCAGCTTATGAAATTCGAGTACGATAAATTCATTATCGAAAGACAGCGCTCGTAATTGAAACACCCGTCGACACCCAAGAGGATGTTTCGGCGTACCTCCACACCGTCTTCGCCAGTGTAGCCGCAGCGAGTGATCCTGCAGTTGGGAATGCCAGCGATGGTGACCAGAGCACTTCGCATGAATGTCAGCGGTTCCAGCGGCTTGTCCACCAGGGGTCCCAGCAGTCGCGCCGTCGCCGGGCCTACGTCAAAGTCAAGAGCAGGAGGGTGTAAAGACGGGAGCAGAGCGTGGCAAATCCTGGGCGCCGACACCAGCGGTCCGGATGGAAAGAATGGGAAAGAAGGAGAGCGATGGGAAAGCGGAAAAAGTAAGCAGACGAAAAGTTAGGCGCATTCCTTTTGCTGCAACGAACTGAAGTTGCTCGAGTGCCCGTCAATTTTAGCTTCGTACAAGACACGATCCTTTCATTTTCCTGCAAATAAAACAAGGCACAGACTTCACAGGTGATATTTTGCCGCTTCTTTGTGCCCATTAGGGCTCGCCGGCAATACGGGCCCATCAAGACCGCCAACTAGGACCGCTCGTGTCCACATCTATGCCCCATTGTTCCGAAGTGGCCCCAATGCATGGGACTGTTCCCTCTAGAATATTATTTTAACTAAGAGTTAGAGTGCTCTTAAAAAAGTAATATAAGTTATAGCTAAAGTTGCTGTACCACACTTCCGGCCACTTACGACCGTTTGTAAAACGTCATTTTGAAAAAAGCATCATTTCTGAAAAAACCTATGAAAATAAACAATTTCTTGTAATAGTACATATGTTTGATCCTGTAAATACTGCAAAACCTTCGCTCTAGTAAAATGCAGTTCCAGGGTCACTTCGTAGACGGCACTAGCATGCCCTCTCGTCAAGGAGATTCCAAGAGCTCGGACGTAAGCGGTCGCAAGTGTGTGAAATAGCCTTTACAGTTAGGCGCAGAAACTATACGTAAAAGTTACTACAAAACACTGCATGGAATTCAGCTATGGCTGCCATGATTTCCACTCATGAAAAGACGAAGTGCATAGATGAGCTGGTGGTACCGTGGTGCAGAAAAGAAAAAAAATCTTTTAGTGTCTGTCCCTTTGACTAAAAGATTTTTCCTTTTCTGCACCACAGAGTCACGTGTCAAACGACATGATATGATTTCCATCGTGCTGTTTGGTTTTCAAAGGCAAAAAATATACCGGTTCGGCCCCATTTCGATTTAACATAATGTCCACGGTCATTCCGAGACATTACCAAGAATTATATATATCTTACAACTCATCATCGAGACTAAAGCAACCTGCTTGCTTGAAAAGATAAGGTAAATTAATAGGCAAGTAAAAAACGCAAACCACTGCATATACTCAGAGCAATGAACAAGTTGAAATGAGTTGAGATGTAGCAGTATTTAAAGTAACAGCTAAATTAAGTTACTACCGTAATATCCCGAGTCATCGCCCACCCCCCAACCGCCTGAAATTCGTTAAAAAAGTGGGGTGGGCCATGTCTCGGTGGGTGAGCACAAACACTTAAAAAAAAACGGAAAAAACGCCTATTTTTTTCTGCGTATCTAGCGCTGATGCACAAGAGATACATCAAACTCAAAACTCGATTTAGTTTCATTGTTTTATAGAAAAAAAAATGCTCACGAAAGTATATTTTACTATAGCGAAGTCCGTTGCTTGCATACGCGCTAGAAACACCGTGAAAGGATGTCACCATTATGTTCTCCTAGTTAGTAAAAAAAAAAAAAAAGAAAGAAAAGTCTACAAGAAAATAGAAAAACCGACCAGGCGCAAAGAGCGAGCGAGCGAGAGGACCAAAGAAGCGACCAAGAGCAATGCTGGGAAAGCGGGAAAGCCGGCGGTCGCGTTGGCAAATACTTTGGCGTCGGGCCAAGTAGGGCGCCTTGTCAATTGCAAGCTCTTGCGCAACTTTCTTGTTTGGTGCGTAGATACGTGCATCCGTGCACAGCGGGCTATCAATGCACGGTTGGGACGTACGCTCTGCAAACGTCTGTGTAGGACGTTCCAGCAAAGCTTTATTTACGCTTTGGCTTTGCCTAAAATATTGCACAACAGCGGTCGCGACGGGCGGGAAGAAGGAGCGGGTTCGCGGTGACCTTACTTCGGCGGAGACAGACTTTGACCTAACACTCCGCGGTTACGTTAACAAACTCCTATTTTGTTATCTTCATTGTTTTCTTTTCGCACGGATACACGACCACTTTGGGGTCGCTCACGGAGGAAATGCGTAAACAAAAAGAAGTGTCTTTCCCTCCTTCGTTTTACTTTGTCACGGACGTCCTCCAACTGTAAGGTCCGCGGCCACGTCATTCGGGTAAGATGAGTGTTCGCGGATTGCAGAGTCCGCGCTGGGGTATTTGAAGGGGTGGGCGATGACTCGGTGTTTTTTCGGAAATCGATATTGGCCCAAAAAATGGGGTGGGCGATGGCTCGGGGATGGGCGATGACTCGGGATATTACGGTAGTATGAGAGTGTGCTTGTTTGGAAAGATTGGATAAATTAATAAGCTGGGAGCGTCGAAAGTTTTCAGATGTAACAGTAATTATGAGAGTTACTTTGAACAGGAAAATTATCTGCTGCTATAGTACAAACATACTATTATCATTAACAAGTTTTAGTTAGTGAAATTATCTCCGCAATTGGTCATTTGGGAAATGTAATAAAATTGAAGTTACGGTCAGTCAAATATTTATTAATTTAACAAGCATTTAGTTACTAAAATTATTACTGCATTTACAATAACTTATATTCCTCGAATTAGCGGCTCAACAGCTCTGAGTAAAGCCTAGCCAATGCTTCATAGAATCTTTACCCCCCACACCATGTTGAGTGCAAACCAGCCCAAAAAGCCTAAATCCCATTGCACGGTTTGCGATTAGTGGCCACCATTCTTCGAACTCGGTTGAATTTAATGCAACATTTTAACATTTCAATCCCGTAAAATAGTCGCATAGTCGTGTATGTTACACATACACAACTATGCGTATACCCAAGTGGCTCAAGCTGGTAATCGGTAGTATTTTTCCACGCTCTTAGAAAACGAGCACCGTCATTACACTAAGTGGCAACTAAGTGTCGGCCAACTAGAATTCCCATGTTTGGACTGGGATATATATAGCAGACAAGTGTGGTAGCACCCATTTCAGCTCAAAACATTTAGACTGAAAGTGCAAAATGTGGATTCTATGAATCATTTCTGGGTTCGACCCCAGCCTCTACCCCTTTTATCTATCGCAATCTTGTAATCCCTATAACAGGTTGTATAGCAACAATAAAGCTTTTTTTGGTATTCAAGTTGCTGAACCTCAAGCTGAGGTGTTCCAAGTTGAGGCATTTCAAGTTGAAATGTTTTAAGTTGCGGCGTTTTAACTTCTGGCGTTTCAAGTTCTGGCGTTTCAAGTTCTGGCGTTTCAAGTTCTGGTGTTTCAACTTGCAATGTTTCAAGTTGTAGCATTTTAAGCTGCTGCATAAGTTGCTGCACTCCAGTTGCAGCACTTGAAGTTGCTGCACTTGAAGTTGCTGCACTTGAAGTTGCTGCACTTGAAGTTGCTGCACTTGAAGTTGCTGCACTTCAAGTTGCTGCACTTGAAGTTGCTGCACTTGAAGTTGCTGCACTTGAAGTTGCTGCACTTGAAGTTGCTGCACTTGAAGTTGCTGCACTTGAAGTTGCTGCACTTGAAGTTGCTGCACTTCAAGTTGCTGCACTTCAAGTTGCTGCACTTCAAGTTGCTGCACATCAAGTTGCGGCACTTCAAGTTGCGGCACTTCAAGTTGCGGCACTTCAAGTTGCGGCACTTCAAGTTGCGGCACTTCAAGTTGCGGCACTTCAAGTTGCGGCACTTCAAGTTGCGGCACTTCAAGTTGCGGCACTTCAAGTTGCGGCATTTCAAGTTGCGGCATTTCAAGTTGCGGCATTTCAAGTTGTAACATTTCAAGTTGCACCCGATACACACCTGCTTGAAGAATGAACAATATGTGGCCTACCTTGAACAGCCAGGAGGGCCCAATCATCCATCACCTCCAGCGAAGCACGGCCTCCTGCTGCCTGGAACTCCGACAGTTTCGCCTGTCGGACAATATGCCGATGTAGTGGAGAATTCACAAATTTTATACGAACAAGCTGGCATGCACTTGTGCGAGCAGGTTATATACAGGACCAGACAGTGTAGAGCTCACCCTGACGTGCGCCAAGTCCTTGTCCCTGCAGCCAGCATTTGAGACCACGTACAGGTGATCACCGGCTTTGTTAACTATCAGGTCGTCGATTATGCCCCCCGTTTCAGTCGTGTACACTGTCAGGGTGCCGCTGTCGTCAACAAGCCCTGCACAGACGTCGTTTTCAACCAAGCTTTGCATGCAATTACACCGAAATAAAAAATGTAGGCTTCTTCTCACTGATAGCTGAGGTGTGAAAAACTGGTGAGGTTGAATTTTTTTGTCTGTTATGGTCTTATTTCACCCAAACAGACTACTGTGAAATGCATACATTAAAACAATATTATGTTTTGCACATGGAGACATCGTTCTAACAATTAACGAAAAATTTTGTGGGCATGGAAGAAGAAAAGAATGCATTTAAAGTGTTTGCATGTTGGGAAGCCTCCAAGTCAGCACTGCCAATTTAGTGGTTTTCCTGCTAAGTTCAGCAGTTTTTAGTGTCATCCAGGGGAAAAAATTGCCATTTATTGGGTGGAAAGATTTTGAGCAATCTTCAAGTCATGCTAGCATTGTTTCTGGAGGTCTATAATGTTTTACAGTTTTCACTTACCAATAGCAAATAGCTTAAAAAGGCCCTGCAAGGACTTTTTTTACTGGTTTTTAATTTGCGCCAAACCTGAGCGCACTGAACGTAGTAACTTAGCGAAACTTTTCTTTTCTCAAATTACACTGCCTTTTAAAAGTTATAGGCAAATTAAAATTACAAAAACAAGCCAAAAATAACCTCCTTCAAACCTTCCTTGGTTGCTTGAGTAGCCGTGAACTAGAGGAGTAGTAGTGAGTTCAGCGAGCGCTCACGGCTGCCGCACCCTGTGTCGACAGCTTGAGAGGGCGCCACTAAAGCATGTTCTGGCTAGGCTGTATGAAGCTGGCAGCCAGGGCGGCTTGCATAGCATTTGCTGCGCGATCAAACACTAATTCGATATGACACTTCATTGGCCACAAACGACAGCAAACAAGGGGTAAAGATCAGTTCAGAACAGGAGCCACTTTGCGCTGCCATACTGCCAAAAGCCCAAACCGCAAGTCAAAGCTGCTCGCCGAAGGCCATGAGAACGCTTGGAACCGGTCTGATCCTCTCGTCCGTACGACCGCAGCGCTGCCGCATACATCCGGGACCTTTTTACGCTCGTTGCTCGTTGGCGCCTCATCCCACTACCCCTTTCTAGTATGTGCCGCCTTTTCCACTGCTTGGTGGCGGGTATGTCGACGGGTCATTTCATGTTTTTTCGTATTTTTCAAACTACATTTGTTTCTTTTCTGATCTAAAATAGCGAACAAAAACTACTTTTATAAATAATTGAAACAGTTTGTGCCGCTTATATTTTCTATTTCGACAAAAAAGAAGCTTTTAGCGGCTCTGACCAGTAGTAAGGCCAGGACCCAAGACGTCGCATATTGTGCGCTTTTGGCACCGCGGGTTGCCCCCGTAGGTAGAGAAGGTTTCCGCATCGTTCGGTTAAAATATTACGTACTGATATTTAGTTACTCTCTCCATGCCCGCTGGCTTACCCGAACCCTGAGGGTTGCAAAAATGTTCCAAAAGCCGGGAATCATGATTAAGAACAAATACCTCCAACTTGCATAACAGCACCAACAATTTATTAGACTTTTCGTCTCCTATGCGGGAGACATCATCAGTGCAACCTGGGAACACCCGACTAGCTACCAGCAATCCAAACGTTGGATTGCTGGTAGCTAGTTGGGTGTTCCCAAGCCGCACTGATGATGTCTCCCGCATAGGAGACGAAACGTCTGATAAATTGTTGGTATTGTTATGCAAGTCGGAGGTATTTGTTCTTAACCCCGAGGGACGTGGAAACTGCAAAAAAGGTAGACGCTTAAATATGATTGCAGGACCCCTTTAAGTTTCATGGTAAGCTAGAGTCCACGGGGTTGCCATCTTTGCTTGCAGCAAAATTGTGCTTAGTGAGGGCAACACACACAACACCACTGAGACATTACGATGGCAAACAATGAAGCACGTTTCTAACCTACTTGGGCGTGAATGTACAAATGTGATTTTGACGTCTGTCAGATGAAATGGGCCCAATAAAATATGCACAAAATATCTGAAAAAAAAAAAAAAAAACTATCCTCATTTTTTATGATTTAAGTTTTTGAAACTGGATTACTGAAAGTTTCAAACGACATCAGACAAGCCAGATACCACCACTGCAAAACAGAAATTTCTGCAAAGCATATGTGAATTAAGCTGATGAATCTTGAACTGCTGCCAAATCTTGCTTGAAAGATTGGAACGCGATGGAGGTATACGTCGTTATAAGGCAACACATCTAACCAACGATTACAGCAAGGTGAGGCAGTGGACATCATTCTAAGCATGAAAGCGGTTCGAATCAAAAAGGAGAGCTTCCGTTTAAGGGTTCTTTTTTCCATTATACTGCTTCTGGAGTATAATTATAACAGTAAATTGTAATAAAAATTATTCTCATCTTGCACCTTAAATTTAGTGGTTTTTAGCAGCATTTCAAGATTCTTATAGAGGACTCCTTAATTTTTGAGTTTATAACACTGGTTCAAACAGAAACATATCTTTCATCACCTTCATATTTCTATACACCAACTCATGTTTACAAACAAACCGGAGTGCCCCTAGCGGACGTCACCGGCGCCGCGCATGCGCCGTGGATGGTGGGCAAGAAGCCCGCCGTCGCCCATAAACAAACCATTGAATTGCGTTGTTGTCGGCGTCGGTGGGAGTCCCCGTGCTCTTTTTCGCGTTGGAATTGTTGATTCTACGTCCTCCTAACAATGTCTGACTACTTGAGCGGCTTCAGCAAAACTGTCGAGGCAAAACTTTGCGTGAATAATGTGACTTGCGGCGATTCATTTCACGTGGACGCCGCAGAATGGGCGCTAAAGCCTGACTCCCACGTCGAGATTCTGCTCGCTATTTTCAGTCGCGACGTCGCTCGGACTGCAAAAGCGTGGACCGTAGCTGAGATGGTGGACATCGATACTGAAAACCTCAAGTAGAATCGGGCATTACAAGTCGGTGATGGTCACTGGTAACAATGATCAACAACTTCTTGTATCTGTTTACACTTAGCCGACTTACCCCAACCAACCTTCAAAAGTGTTTTGAGGCCTGCACTTAGTTCTTATCGCAATTACCGGGTCAATGTTTGGTTTACGAGCCGCTGTCGTTTGAACGAACTGACGACAAAGAGCAGCCAAGTTTGAAAGAGCAGACGACAGTTGGAACGCACGCGCAATGGAGTACGGGCAAGAAGCACCGCGTCCCGCGTCAACAAACCATTCGATTGTCACGTTGTCGGCGTCTGTGTGAGTCTGCATACTCTTTTTCGCGTTGGAGTTGTCGATTCTACGTCCTCATCGCAATGTCTTGCCACTTTAATCGCCTGAGCGAAATCATCAAGGCTCGTTACGCTGCTAAACTTTGCATAAATAATTTGACGTGCGGCGATGTATTTGCATGACCGCCGCAGAATGGACGTACAAAACCATGATGAGACTCTTCTAGCTATTTTCGGTCGCGACGACCCTCGTGCTGCAAAAGTGTAGAAGGTAGCGGCGATGATCGACGTCGATGCTGAAAATCGGAAGCGGGAACAGACAAAGCGTAACAAGTAGGTGATGGCCACCGGTACCAATGATCAACATCTTGTATCTACTGCTTACACCGAGCCTACTTAAGTCTTTTGAGGCCTGCAATTACTTCTTATTGCAATCACCGGGTCAAAGTTTGGTCTACGGGCCGCTTTTGTTTGAACGAGCAGACGACAAAAAGCAGACAACTTTGAAAGAGCAGACGAAAGTTCGAACGATCAGGCGGCCGTGTGAATTTGAAGACGCACTGAATCCGTGGGTGGTCCGGACAACTTGGGGGTTTTCTCTCGGTCATGTTGGAACAAAGCAAATACATCTGGCGACTACAAATTGTGGCCCGCACAAGCAATCGTAGTTCGACAGCGTCAGGTTTGCCCTTTTCACGGCTGCTATCGACGTTCTCGGACGAACGGAGGGTGCAAAAACACATGAAAACTTATCTTCAAACCTTCCCAGACTCTCTTGGTAAAGCCCCCATCGCAGCATTTTGACGAGAAGGCAGGTTTTTTGTCTCGTTTCTTCCAAAGGAACACAGGAATGCATGTCTGGCACGGCGACTTCTGCCCACCGCCCCAGACCGGAAGTGCGTCCGGCGCGCCACCACCGCGGCGTGACGTAGGAGAGTTGAGTTGGTGTATAGGGTGGTTTCACCCGACATACACATAATATCTGACTTTAACTGTCGAAAGACTCCACAGTGATGAACGTGATTTGCGTCGCGATTGATTGCGCCAGCCGGAGTTGTTGTCGACACAAAGGAGCATCGGCTAGAGCTCAATTTTCACAGATATCGACTGCTATTCAGGGCTAAAACAAGCTGGTGCTTAAACAGCTGGCTCGCTGACGGCCAAGATCTGCCAAGACAGCTTTGATGGGAGGCGTAAATAGGGAGTTGGCAAGGATTTCTTCAACTCAAGTAAATGCCTGCTTCGAAGTTCTGCCGAGGGCACAGTCACCTACCGCGATGAGGTCAACACCAAAAACAACACTAATAAAGCATCGCTTGCGCAAAAACAAACAGGAAAATTAAAGACGATTATCCAGCACCTCTGCAGAGAGCATGTCGTAGGTAGAATACCATTTTGTGAAGCCGCCCTATAGACGATTGCAAGCAGGGCATCAGGCCGACACCATGTCTACGTTCGTGCTGGCGAATGCATGTATTTACAAGCTTGTCAATGCTAATTTCACGCCCATGGTGCACATGCTTGCACGCACGGGGACCAGTGAGGCGTCATGGTCTATAACAAACGTCAACAAATGGATGGATGAATAAATTAACGGCCGTATCCCATATAACGTGCCATAGCTTGTGCCACCTAGCCTAAAAACGAAGAAAAAATAAACATGATTCCATCTCCCCAATAGACAAGAATGGGGTGGCCGGGACAAATGTTGTGTAGGAGAAGCTGAAACACGCCGTCGCAAATCTTTCGTAGCGGCTGACTGGAAATTCGCCATACTTGCGGACAACTTTCCCTGGCATTTTGAAGCGATCGGTATGGGTAACAACACACCTTTCCAATACTCATCACCCAGGTGAAAAATGCCGAGTGACCAAGCTGCGAACATGTGCATGGCATCCAATATTTCGCACAAAGCTGCTGCAGGTGCTCAAGACGTGTGGCCAAGTACACAAAGACAACGGCACGCAGAAGGCGCATATTGGAACGGTCTGCAGGGTGTTTGTTTTTTAGCCCGATTCGAGCGCTAAAGATTAGCATAAATAAACGAATAAACGGAGTGTAATGACACTTTACACAAAGATGTCTTTAGGTGGTGCATTTATCTATGAGTAGGTATCAGGAAATAAATGTTAGCCTAGCTGAGAAAACCTGTTTTTCTCCCATGCACAAGGAGGAAAGCAGAAAAAAACAATGTCCGGTCAATGCTGCATTCCGAGCGTGTGGGGTGGGGTACCCATGAGCAGCAGTGTTAACCTGAGAGCTTTTACTGTTTTCTTTTATGTGCCAAGAAAAAAAAAAACGGTTTTCATTTTTAAGTTTTAAATTAATTTTTTTTTAGCCTACACTCGTAACATTCGAGGATGATAAATGCACTACCTAAAGACACCTTTGTGAAAAGGCTAAATGCACTCTAATCATTGGTTTGTCTGGACAAATAATTTTTAAGCTCGATTATGGAAACACACTGATGCGAATCGGAAGCCTTGCCTTCAATGTCGGACACGACGAGGGACTCGACGAACTTGACCCGGTCCTCTCCGTGCAGCTTGCTCTGCAGCATGTGCGAGACGTCGAACAGGCTGGCCTGCTTCCTGGTGTGCAGGTGCGAGGCTGCAATGCCCATGGACCCGTACTGGACCGGCATCTCGTAGCCGGCAAAGGGCACCATCTTGCCGCCATGCTTCACGTGGAAGTCGTACAGGACGGTGCGCTGCAGGGGGGCCTGCACGTGGAGACATGCTCTCCACTTTTAATGTGCATGTTTCTGCAACACCTTAAAAAAGAACACTACCCAGAAAAAAAATTCTTAAAAAATGTTGAATTTGATAAATGTCCTATTTACATCCACCCCCATGTAGTCTTTCCAGAAAGTTTCAGTTGTTTACACTGCATAGCTATTTTTGTGGCACGCACACTTTGAACACATTTTCCTTCATTCCACTTTTTGGCGTAAATTACTTTAGGAAAACTCTCGTTCGGTAGCGGGACAAAAGGAAAGGCTCACTCAATGGTTTTCCTAACTGAAATTTAATAGGCAGTGCAACTGTGGCATTGCTTTTTTTTACTTTGTGCGTGATTTTTAAAAAAAATGTTGAGATTTTGTTCACAACATAAAAAGGCTAAAGATTTATTCAATTTTTGAGCGTGATTTTAGCGTAAAATTTTGTTTTCACACTTGCATTGTCAGGGCAATCTGCTGCATATATAGTAAAGAAACATGCTGGGTATTGCATTAGTTTTCGAATGATAGTTTCCTTAAACAAGGTCATAATGTTCGTGATAGAAATGACTATAATTTCTTTCACAATTCATGTATACAGATGAGGGTTTGCACTGCATTCTGCCTAGCAACCGCCAGTATATACTGTAAATTTCATTCATATTAAGCCAAAGATTCAAAAGTTGACCCTTTCAGGTACTACGCCAAAGACGTTTCCGAGATTGTCTGTTCTTGGTGATAACTAATTTTACGGGCTTCAAGCATCCTAGAAATTCAAAAATTATACTTGTGTGGCGTCCATTTCCCTACTAAAAATGTGACACTGGCACCTCTGCTGAATTCTGTGCTCCAGATTTTCGCTCAGAAAGGGGCGTGGCACGAACTTCTGTCACACCTTTAGTACAGAAATAGACATCGCACAAGCATGATCTTTCAATTTCTGGGATGCTAAGATTCCGTAGAATGAGCTATTGCCAAGAACAGACAATCTCAGAAACGTCTTTATTGCACCTTTAAAGGGCAGGGTACTGCAATGCAATTCTAGAGCCTATTTTATTGTCCAAATGTCAACCATATGTCCTGGCAGCACCACAGAGACACACATTTTTTGCTTGAAAAAACATCAAAACAATATTTAAAAGGAATAAACCGAATTTTGTTACGTCACTCCGAACTTAAAAGCAGTGCCGCTCCACAGATGTACAGCAGAAAGCTGAGTACGTACGAGCCCTGTCAAACCAGATTTTTCACGTCTCCCGGCCCATTCAACTCCTGCTCCTTTTAAAACTAAAACAGCCAGGTTGTGATGCATTGACGACACACAGTGGCAGAGCTCATAACTGCGCCAGCCCCCAAGCAACTTTGTCCGTGATAGGACAGTTGGTGTCACGTCGCCCAAGATGCATCGCGCTCTCCGATGGCCGATCTTCGAGCGCTCGTAGAAATCGGCCTTTTGGAACGAAAAATACAGCCATAAATTTAAAACTCAAGCACGCAACTGCCATTAACAGACAGAGTTAATCAAGATTAACTTATTTCTGAATGTGAGGTATATATTTAAGTTTTGACTCAGTCTCCCTTCAAGGCTCGTTCACACACTTGTGTTTGCTTATAGGACCGAGTTCTTTTTGTGATCTGTAAGAGAGAATACACGTCTGGCACGCTGGCACCATCTATGAGGAGACTTCAGAACTGCATTTCACTAGAGCAAAGGTTTTGTGGTATTTGCGAGATCAAATGCATGTACCATTTATGAGAAACGGTTGTTTATAACATTGCCAAAAGCTTTTCCAGTCAAGAAAGAAAGAGTGATGTGCGAAATATAAAAAAAAAAAAATATACGGGAACTGAAAGTGTTCCACGGATATTCGAAAGACACCGGCATGTCCTCCCGTTATAAAAGGTTTTAAGGCACATGTGGTCCTAACCAGTCATAAGTGTGTGAACCGCCTTTACCAAGCACTGCGACATCCGTCGGGCATCTCCAAGATGCCTTGACCAGATGTCATAGAGCAGACATCTTGGCGAGAGAACCAGAGAGAAATAAACATCTAGTACCAGCTGTTTTCCAGCTCAGGAAGTGCCTCCTATTCTTGGGGCTACGAGACATCTTGGATGATATCTTGCAGATGTGAGAATCTAGAAGCTTGACATGTTGGCAAAATCTGCAGGACTCCTTTAGACACACTTGTAGACGTTTACGAGAAATCTAAAAGGTATACTTGGCAAGATGTACCGAGATGCCTTGCAGACTACTTGGCAAGACATTATATATCTGGTAGATCTTTACAAGAAGTCAAGGCATCTGCAGGGCATCCACTTCTCAAAACGTCTCGATATATATAGGTACCTCGAGAATGCAATTCAAACCACATACAACCCAGGTACCGCCCCAAGTGCCCCTCCCTGGTATCGAAATGTCCTGTGAAACATTATTGTGTACATGCATACAAACAACTATTCTCTGATATTTCACGTGATAAGTAGAATGTGAACAGTCACAGCTATAATGAATGAAAAATCTATGCTAAGCATAGATTTTTCAAACGCATTTGATTGCATTTCGCATAGGAAATTAGTAACAAAACTTAAGATGTTTGGACTAAATGAAAACATCACAAGTTGGATTGAGGCTTATTTAAGAAATAGATCACAGACGGTTGAAGTTCGAGATGCCCCTTCATACTCATTATCGGTAACTTCAGGTGTATCACAAGGGTCCGTATTGGGACCATTGTTGTTTCTTTTATATATTAATATCTCTACGGTCATTAAACCACCAGTACAAATAAACTTGTTTGCAGATGATTGCTTAGTTTACTCACCCATTAAGACATCCAAAGACAGGCAGCATTAGATGATAGTTTGGACTATATCAAACAGTGGTGCTTCCAATGGCAAATGGAAATTAACTTCAAAAAGTCATCCTATACTCACGTCACTAATAAGAAGAATGTATCTCTATTTCAGTATCACATTGGGAATGTAGAACTAACAAAAGCAGAAACTTTCAAGTATTTGGGGGTAACGATAAGCCAAAACTTAAAATGGCAGCCACATATCATCAATATCTGCGCAGCTGTGTATAGGAAATTATGTATGCTTAGAAATAAACTTAAAAATAGCAATAAAGAAATAACACTTACGGCCTACAAAACTCTAATACGACCTACTCTAGAATACGCCTCAATCGTTTGGGACCTTGCATCCAAAACGGACTTAGACAAGCTCGAGAGAATACAGAGGAAGGCCGCACGTTTCATAACTTCAAATTACAAATCAACGTCCTCTGTGACAGAAATGTTGAATGCTTGCGGGCTTGAACCCTTAGCGGTTAGGAGAAAAATTGCACGCCTAAAGTTTTTATTTTTGATTTATCATGGACAAGTAAAGATCAACCGAGACACTTATCTCAGAAACATAACCAATAGATCAGCTAGATTAAATCATTCCAAAGCATTGCAGTCGTATCTACCCAGAATAAATGTTTTCAAGTATTCCTTTTTTGCAAATACAATTAACGATTGGAATAAGCTTCCCGAACATATTGTAAATCACAACGATGTTTCAGTGTTCGAAGACGCCGTTAGACTTTTTTACTCTGTTTAAAGAGTGAGCATACCGCCTTGGTGTTATTTTTGTCTTTTTGAGGTTAAATATGTATATATTACGTGATACTTTGAATATTGTATTATATATATATATATATTTTTTTTGTATATAGTGTTTTTGTACATGGAACGTGCCCTGTTATTATTTGTGATAATTTTTGTCAGTATATTGTCATTGTTAAATTTATTATCACTTTTTACGTGCATTTAGTGCTCTTGTTTTCTATTTTGCGCTCTCGGCGCGTTTTGTGTTTAATCTTGTAACCACTTTATTGTTCATAGCTCTGTTGGAGGTATGAACCATATTCTTTTTTGTGTGTGTTTGTTCCTCCCTGCCACGGCCCCACGGGCCAGCAGTATGTACAAATAAATAAATAAATAAGTAAAATGTTAGGTAATGCCCTGGTGGAGCTGGTCAAGCACTGATGGGTTATATGCAGATGCACAACAAGATAAAGTCCCCTTGTAAAAAATAAAAAATAAAACAAACACACAATTAACTTTTTTGAAAGAATACTCTTTCTTTGTTCGTCAGCAACCAAAATTGTAAGCTCTGAAGGCTGAGACAGTGAGCGTGAACGAACATAGTGAATCAAATTTAAATTATTAGCAAAAAAAAAAAAAAAAAAAGCTGGATCATTTACATAACAAAGATGTGCGTGGCTTCCTGGTATGTTCATTATGCGCTCACGCATGAAGTGTAAGATGGCATTTTATATATGGAACACACCAAGAAATGGGGTAGAATTATTCTTTCTCTTCCCTCTGCCACTGTCACAACCAAGCTTTCCTTCAAAACTTTTTTTTTTTTTTTTTTTTTTTTACAAAAATAAGTTAACGTAATGCACTGCAAGTTTTAGCTTTGTGACAAGCTAACTTCTTAGCTCTACCATCGCATATGAGGGAAATACTCGCTTCGTAGCTCACAGACCACTTCAAAATTGTAATATGCAGCTTTGTTTTTATCTAAATCGCTTTAATCATGTAAAAAAAAGAAGAAAGGCGGAGCGCGACTGGGCTCAATTACTACGACCTCCAAAAGCACACCAAATCCACAGTGCGTTCAGCTATGTCCTCGTTCAAGAGGGATAACTTGCCATCAACCTACCTCGCTGCTGCAATGCCGTAGCTGGCGGACGCAAGGCGTTGCGAGTGCCGCTTGACCGAGCCTGGGGATGACTTGGCAGAAAAGGCTGACGAGCTGCATCTCGACGACGCACCCGCGGTGTCCGACGCAGTCGCGATAAATGGGCCGGCGATTACGGCCGACTGGCCCAGCGATCATAGAGGACTTTCTGTTGCTTGCATATTTTCTTCTTTCGGTCTTATCTCGCGCGTGGTTCGAGTCGTCTGCTCAATTCGCCCGATTGTGTCCGTTGTAGTGTGCCTAGATTACTGAGTGTTTCCAACCGCTCGATCGGTGTCAAATGGCTTAGCAGTCATGAAGTCCGACTGAAGTCCAAAAAAATATTACCTGACTTGAGTTGCCCTTTCTTTTAAATCTAGTTCGTGCACGAAACAGAACGGAAAGCACCCCTCGGTTACCTTTTTTTCGACAACAGAAACCAGTTTTCAATCGGGCGGCGGGTTGCGGCACCTAGCGAATACTTTGAACATAATCGTGATCAAATTTTGCAGAAAGAGCTAAAAGTAGCAAAAGCACCTCTGAACAAATAATGCCCCATCCTGATTGCACGGATGAGTGTTGCTCAACACTCATTCATTTAATATGGCGGTTAAAATCATCAGGGTTGGCTTGGCAAAGCCGGAACATTTCTGGCGAGGACCTTTACCATGTTCCAATCATTGGGCGTTGTGATGGGAATTTCTGAATCTGCCAGACCAGAGGGACGTGGGCTTGTAATGCAACACACATTTTAGAGATGTTTATTTTTTGGCCACCAATAACAAAGCTCTTAATGGAAGCATGGTTGCTGCTTGGTGAGCCAGCTTACATTGTCTACATTCTCAAAAACTGCCACCAGACAATTACAATTTTTGTAAACATTGAATTCTAAATGATTGCAGTCGAGTCTCGGCTGATGGCAATAGGCTGGCCGAACAATGTTTCATCGAAAGCTTCTGTCCGTGCACATTGCCTTGGCCGTCTGCATCCAGATGGTGGCCCAAATTGTCGAACCCTTGGCGTTTTTTACAAGGCCTTGGTGCAACCTCGGGCTCGAGATTATTTTCTCCGAGCAGCACGGTCTGTATTGAAAGCCTAGGATTAGGGCCTCGCAAATTTATTTTCTTCTCTAGGCGTTCCCCTGCTTGCTAGGCATAGGTGGTATAGATTTCTTCCGCCCACGTAGCTAGGAAGCTTCTGGAGGCAACACACTGATCTCAATGACAATTGCTGGATCGCGCTTGCCGCTCCCGCAAGTGAAGCCACCGGGCGTCACTCGCTTGGGATACGATTTGCCGTTTTTGCTAGCCTTTGCTGCGGTTTTCCAGCGTGCTGACGACACGTTTTCTACTCGTTCGTCGTCATTCGCCGAAGAAGTTTTTTGAAGACTCTGTGTATTGTTGAGACTTTCCGTTGTGAACACGTGGAAAATTTTACGAAAGTGCAGTGTCGCAGGAAAAAGGCACAACGCGTCGAAAGGAAGGGCTGGCGGCGTGTTCAAAGCATCCTTGGCACGCCGAAGTGCCGTGTCTCTGTGCCTTCGCGCGCTTGGATACCGACCAAGAACCGACGCCGTGTGAATGTGTTTAGCGAGTGCAATGTGCGTGAAGCCGTATCAAAAGGTACAACTCGTCGAAAACGTGTCGCCGGTGTCGCGGCGTGATCAAAGCTTCCTTGGCACGCCGAGTGATGCATCTTTGTGCCTTCGCACGCTTGGATACCGGTCAAGAATTGACGCCGCGCCAAAGTTCTGAACGTGTGTCGCGCGTAGATGCCTTTAGATCATTTATATATATCGGCCACGGAGTTCTGGATCGTCCAGCTGTTCCGGTGAGTTGCTATCAATAAAAGGGGGAGATCTGTACGTATTCTTATGTACTATATTAACCATGGCTATGTCCCAAATCTACTCTAATAGATTCCGTGGGAGCACGAATAGGGCAACGTTGTACGTGGAGCCAGGGGGGTTTTCGAAAGCAAATGTACAAGACGGCGAGAATGAAAATCTTTGAAGCGCGGCCGATATGGTCGTGTGCAATCTGTTGACCAATTACAATTAGGCGAGTCGCGTAGGTTGATAATAAGCCAGCACTGATCAGTGATGAGGAGCTGTTGTGCACGGTATTGTGTAAATCGTCTAAGGACGAAAAAAAGACGTACCTAAACCGCGAGGGGAAAAGACGCTGATCCAGAGGCACGAACAGCTTCACGCACATTGCACTCGCTGAACACATACACACGGCGTCGGTTCTTGGTCGGTATCCAAGCGCGCGAAGGCACAGAGACACGGCACTTCGGCGTGCCAAGGATGCTTTGAACACGCCGCCAGCCCTTCCTTTCGACGCGTTGTGCCTTTTTCCTGCGACACTGCACTTTCGTAAAATTTTCCACGTGTTCACAACGGAAAGTCTCAACAATACACAGAGTCTTCAAAAAAACTTCTTCGGCGAATGACGACGAACGAGTAGAAAACGTGTCGTCAGCACGCTGGAAAACCGCAGCAAAGGCTAGCAAAAACGGCAAATCGTATCCCAAGCGAGTGAAGCCCGGTGGCTTCACTTGCGCTGCAGCGAACAAGCGGGGAAGCGCGATCCAGCAATTGTCATTGAGATCAGTGAGGCAACATGACGCCAAGAGAGGTGAAGTCTAGAGACACTTCCAGTTTGGGAGGACACATCCCCCACAATGACCAAAAGTAGTGATGGGACGAATCTTTATCCGAATCGAGATTCGGAGCCGAATCTGGAGATTCGGAAAGATTCGGAAGAGTAGCCGAATCTCAAAAGATTCGGAAAAGTTCGGAAAGATTCGGAGCGTTGCCATGGTGGCCAGATCACGTTGATGAGTCTTTCAATTTTTGTAATATTAAATTCACTAAATTCTACAAAGTGCACAAAATAATATTGTAATATGATATCACAGTAATAAATAAAATCTCCCGCTTTGTTTATATTATTTTGGATGTTTGTCGAACGGTACCGCTGGTATCGCGGGAAACTTGGTTTCGGTTTCGGATTGCGACCAAAATAGGCATGCTTGGTGCACGTGGAAATACAAGTGCACGTTTTCATCGCCGCAAGAGATCGATGCCGTACGTGCTGTTCGGTACAGACACATTTCACGTCCATAGTTACGGTTATACTGGCACACACCACACAAGTGAGTATATTCGGATCGATTATCGCCAACGTGTGTGCACTGAGGTATTGTTATCGGAACGCGGGAAACAGCCTAAAAACCCTGCACTGCATTTGTACCTTTCTGGTTAATAATATCCGATTTCGTAGTGTTTGTTTCCGCGTTGGACACCCCTGTGTTGTGTTTCTTTTTCACCAAATAAAGTTCACGCACACAAAACTTGCTGTCGAGGACGGAGAAGCGACAGTACGAAGTAGTGACGTTTTTCTCTGGCACCGGTGCCGGTACGCGGACGAAGTTGCGACGAGCAACACTCATCTCGCTCTCGCGCCAGGTACAGACCACGACCCACTCGTGGTACAGACATACGCAGGTCTAGAGAAGGAGACAGATCATTTCCTTGCCTTGCCGCACCGATCAGCTCAGCTGGATCTGGGCGGGTGCCAGGGTTTAGAATGACAGTTCAGTACATACCATTACGTTGAAATAAACGAGACGAAATCTGGTTATATGCAATAACAGTACCTAAAAAGAAACACGGACCGCGTTCACGAGCTTTACGACAAGATTCACGCTGCCGTCTTCAACCAGCGACGAATGGGACGAATCTCCGAATCTGCCGAATATTCGTCGCGGGAAGTTCGGAAATTTCCGAATCAGTCCGAATCCGAATCTCTGGTGATTCGTCCCATCACTAACCAAAAGATGCTTTTGGACGGAAAGAACAGCTCATTTGGCGCCAACAGCCGTTTTGGTCACCCTTGGGGGCGTTCCCACTGACTCCGACCTCTACCGATGGTTTCATTTGGGATGTTCTCATTTGGCGTTTCGCAATCTATAATTGCAAAAATTTTACAAGAGTATATTTCACAAAGAATTGATGACATAAAAACAGCTAAAAAATAAACGCTCGATAAAAAAACAATAAAAACAGAGGAACTCTGTTATAATTCTAGTAAAGCTAATATAGCCCATAATTCTGAATAGAGGCATATCAATATAGCGGTTCTATGCCCAATAGTTCCTGACTAAATGGGCTCTGAACATGCATCAAAATACACTGGAGGTACGGGGCCCAAACTGTTCACTTAATGTTATCATGGCCAGTTTACTGCTCGGCTCTACAATTTCTTCAACGTACAAAGACAAAATTTTGTTTAATAAAATGGCACAAAAGAAAACAAAGACAAGAAAAGAATCCTTTGTTCAGGTTACCACATGGTTATCACAGATGGGTCGTCGCAGAGAAATCTCGCATTTGACCAGACTCCCCCCTCAGAACCCTTTGGTTAGTTCACAAGCACGCAGTGTTGTCGGCATGTCCTTAATGTCAGTCAACTTCAGATAGGACCGCACCCGCAGCCAGTTGTCCAGTCCGATCTGATCCAACCGCATCTGCCCCAGACGTCCACCGTCGCAAACCACAGCCTCGCTGACTACGCCAGCCACGACCATAAAGTTGGCGTCCAGATGCCTCCTGGCTTTTCGGATCCTCTCCTCGGTATCCGATTCGGATCCGCCGGACAGTTGTTGGACCTTCTCGGACAATGCCCTGCTCCGAAAGACTTCTTCAAACGCCTCCCAGCACCGCTTGTCGCACCTGCCCATGACAAAGTGAACTGCACGCTGCAACAAGGAGAAGTTCCGTCGCAGGACGTCCATGACCTTGAACATCCACACTTCGTCATCCACGTGGCAGTCGTCGTCGACCTTGATGCTGACCAAGAACTTGTTACCCTCCACCGTGGCGGACAGCTCATTCAGTATTAGGCCCGCTTTTACAAGGTGGAGCTCGAGGTAATTCAGCGTCTCGTTCCTTCCCAGCGTTTCAGCAAAGTCCTCCGCGTGGTAGCTGAGGAAGTGCCAGTTCGACAAAATCAGCGTCGAAACGCTATTGTTACGGGACATCGCGTCCAGGAGAATCTGTGTAGCCGAAATGGTTGTCGGAAAGTTGAGGTCGGCGTGCCTGAGCTTCTTCGTTGACGACAAGAACTGTGCCAGCAGTTCTGCGCAGCTCGTGCTCATCTCTTCAGCTAGCGTGATTTCAAGTTTCATTAACTGACTGCACGAAGTCAGGCAACTAAACGCAGAGAATTCGGGAGCAGGTGAGCCACCAGTCTTCGGAACTGGCGGATATCTGTGAATGCAAACCTCATCTTCAGAATCTAGTTCATCAATGAAGTAGCAGCCAAACACTGAATTCAACGTGCCAGTAACGCTTCGAGGTGCTGGATGGTAATCGACCTCTGTGAGCTCATGGCAGTGCTCTAGAGCTTCCTGCAATGCAAAGGGACTTTTGATGACGCTTCTAAACTTCATTCTCTGGTCTGTGCCAGTCTCCCGTAGAACCTTGTACACGTCTGCTACCAGACTCTCGTTGACCTCTTCTCCCGTGACCGTCTGGAGCCAGCTATTTTTAGCCAATGCTTCACACAGCTTCGTTATGTCCTCGAGTGACAGTTCGGAGCAGCAAAGGCTCAACTTCTTCATTGTCGTATTGGTACGAATGGCCTCTGCAAGCTTCTCTACACCCACCACTGCAATATTTTCCATTTCTAACTCGAGAAGTCCGGTATTGTTCCCGACAATCTCGGCTAAGGAGTCATCCTCAAACGTGCACTTGTTTCCATAAGTGCGGAAACTCTGCAGCGTGTTATTGGTTGCCATCACCTTGGAAAGTAGCGGACCCTGAGATGGCTCGAACAAGTGGCCGACGAGGTGTAGCTTCCTCAGAACACGGTTTGTTGCCAAGACTTCCAACACTGACTTGACTTCTTCTGTCCTCGACCGGAAGCCCTTGGTAATGTTGATGACAAGCTCCTGAAGGACGACATGCTCCGCCAAGTATTCAGCAAACGTTGTGTCCTTTCCGTGGTGCAGACACCAGTCGTTACAGTGTAAGGCCTTGATTGTCTTGCTCCGCTTCAAGCTCCGTATGAGGACGTCCGTCTTGGGAGCGGACATATAGCCGAGGCTGGCAGAGAAGAACCTCAGACACGGCATGTTCTCAAAGGCGGTTCCGAGAAGCGCGAGAGCATCCTGGGACAGAAAGACGTCGTGCAGTACGAGCTCCTCTAGACCCGTAAGAGTGCCGATGGCCACCACCAGGTACTGAGAAGCATCCTGGATTCGCGTCTTGCACTCGTCCTCCAAGTCGCACTCGTGCAGCTCCAGGCGTCTCAGGCCGTTGTTTAGGCGGAGGGCGTCGAGGAAGAGTCTGGGGTTTCTGTGCGCGACAACACCTTTGACCTTGAGCGTTTTGATGCAATGGTGCTCTGTGAGAAGCCAGTGCAGGATAATGTGTGCGTGGCAGCACATGGCTTCCGAAGCAATGATAGGAGTGAAGCCGACCAGGCAGTCTGTGCCGAGCTCCCCCGGTGCTTCTTCCCTCATCTCCAGGTGACAGAGCCACAGCAATTCGTTCCAGAAGCTGAGGTCATCCAGAATGTGGCAGCACTGCACGTCGCTCCCTGTGCAGGGTTGGTCGTAGTCAACGTTGCGCGCGCTCAAGGCACTTTTGGTGCTGCGGAGACTGGCAAAAATCTGCCGGGCCGTCTTGTCTCTCGGGAACAGACGGCTGATGCGGGCAGAGTAGTTCTTTAGCTTTTGACACTTCTTGTCCATCGAGGTGCTAGAAAATAGAAGAAAAAAGTTGGGACTGTTCAAAGGCAGGAAATTGAGCCGCCATGCCCCAAATCTAGTTAAAGCCGAGTGTAATGGCAATTTGGTGCCAACGGTATGTCCTCCGTAATTTGTACCTTGCACGGTCGGTGAGAACAATGATTGGAAGAGTAAGGCGGATCGATGGCCGAGTGGGCTAGCGCACACCAGCTCGGAGCATGTTGTGCGAAAGCTCGCGCTGCAGAACCCAGGGATCCTGATTTTAATCCCCACCCCTGCCCGTTTCAATCTGGATGAGCACCGTAGTGGCGTGGGCTGTGTATCACTACTGTGTGGTGACCCCAGGCTAGCGGTTGTACTGCACTGGCTAAATTTCTCATCTACAGCTGAGAGACAAGTCGCCCGTTGAGGCAGACTAAGTTCTAGGCTGTATAAACATACACACACCCCAATTTTTTTTTTATTTATTGGAAGTATTTGAAACAGCAACTACTGAGTGTATTTGTTGATGTCATTTAGATGATCATATGGACAATTTCTGCTGCTGCTGAGTATGCAGGGTGTTTTACTTATAGTGGGTCCACAATAAAAAAGAAAGAAATTAAAAAAAACTTGCATTGGCATTTTTTTTAGCCCTGGAGCTAGACTGGTGGCCATGGCGGCCACTAGAAGAGAGGCGTGGATCCTGGGTTTAATCTCCCTGCCCTTTTCAATCCGGATGAGCATCGTAGAGGCGTGCGGTTGTGTATCACTACTGCATGGTGCACGTTAAGGACCCCAGCCTAGCGGTTGTACTGCAATGGCTAAATTGCTCATCTACAGCGAGTGACTCGTCACAACTTTAAAATGGCTGACCAACTACACGCTGTATAAATATCCACACAACCCCAATTATTAGAAGAAAGGCAAAATGGGTTAATTCGTTAGCTAACTAACTAAAAAGTTTCAAATAACTTGTAGAATTTTATTTTGGGGAGCACGATGCATATATGTCACTCTCGTACACAGCTCAAATCCAAAAAAATAAGGGTTTTAAGAGTACTTGGTAATCTATCCCTTTCTCTGCCTGCACTGGTTAGCCAGAGGGCAACGAGACCCGGCAGATGCAACAACCAAGGAGCCACTGGTGGGAAGGGACAGCACCTCCAACAAGGCACCACGCCGAAGGAAGCAAGAACAAGAAAAAAAGGGCATCTGAAGTGTGCACACAGCAGGCCATGATGGCAAGCCTCAGAGACATGTCCGAGATCAGACCAGGCAGTCCCCTGGGACAAACAGGGCAGGAATTGCCCATGCCTTGGAGGGCAGAGGAGGGACAGCACGGAACTCTATCGTGAACCCAGTGGGAGAGCCCCCACTACAAGAAGGCTGCACACCCAAGAACCAGGTACTGAAGAGGAGGCGAGCCAGGGCAAGACAATATGCAAAGGGAGCAAAACAAAATCGGAGGCAGCCAAAATGGGGATCTTCAACGTGCAAAAGGGAAGGAAATTCAACACAACGCAAAAAATTCAAATATGGTGTAACTGAAACGCAGCTGCGAGAGCAAGAGAGGCCCCCATCTAAAGGACGAATGGTACTGCAGAGGCTATAACAAAGCAAACAGGGAGAAAAAGGGAGGGGCAGGCGTTCTAGGAAGCTTATCTACTGACTTTGAACAGTTGGTCGTGCTTTGAACACTGTCGCGTCCCCTGCAAGAGCGAGGGAAATGACGTAACGAGCGAACGCACGGAGCGAAAGAGCGTGGCGGGAACCACAGTGGCGGGAACCGCGCCGCGGCCTGGCAAAACGCCCACATGAAAAAAAGCTGCAGCTTCCAGTTGGAAATGAAGATTTACAGCCGCATTTTCGGCTAATTTATACAGCACCAGCTGGAAATTCTGTTTACAGCTGTATAGAGATCAGAAATATAGAGATCAGAATGAGAAGACATGTACGACAGACGAGCACTCACTCCCAACTGTCAGTGCCTGACGTGCCCCCGATGAAACGGTGCATGAACCAGCGAGAACACGCTTGTATTCCTCCACTTACCGTACCCTGTCGAGGCAATCGTGAGACTGTGAAGGAGGCAGGAGGGGACCACGGGGACCACTTGAGAAACGTACCAAAGCTCAGAGCAAAATTGGCAAAGCCAACATGGGCCACAAGTGCACCAAACTGTCCAGTTGAACACAAACGGCGCGGTCACGTCACAACTGACAATCTGACGTTTATAACCGCCTACAATCTTACAACTGACACGATGGACGCCAACGGACCCAAACGCACGCCATCATTTTCAACAGGGTGACAGGGTTTTCAATGTTTTCAACAATTTCAAAAGGTGGCAAATCCCGTTCGTCCAACGAGCCAGCGACCGAGTTTCCCGCCCTTGCCAAGCCCTTGCTGCGCGACTAGGGAAACAAAAGTAAATAATTATTGTTTTAATAACTTGAAGTTGGAATTGCAAAACGATTAAAAGGTATATTTTAAATATTTTAAAGGTAATAAAATAAAATTTGTGCGAGTTGGCAAGAGCCTAGGGAGGCTCAAGTGAGGGTGGGTGCAACTGCTAGATCGGCGATCACGGGACATGGACGCCATTTAATTGCTAAATTTTGCTGGGAGTCTATGGGGCAAAAGGTCGTTTTATTTCCTAACTCGGGTCATAAAAGCCCATTAAGGTGCTTGAATAATTTACGCAAGGTATAAATGATTACTTTTTCATAGCCACCAGTTTTGTTGCGATAGGTTAAGTATTTTTTTAACGCGAAAAATGGAAATTCCGCCATCTTGGACGTTGCTGCTTGTCTGGCAACTTTGCTTTCTCCGCTCGACGTTTGCTTTCTCCGCTCGACGTTTGCAATTCTCGGAGCGAGAAGGAAGCGAGAGAGGCTGCGCCAAGGCGCTCGTTGCTTGCAATGGAAGGCGAGAGGAGGAAAGGCACATGGAGCAACAGAGTTGCAACAGAGCGGGCGCCTGCTCTCGTGCAGGCAACACTGGCGCATATCCTTTCTCGAATCCTCTCCCTCAGGCGCCGCCACTAAATTGCAAACGCTCTCCCGGGCTATGTTCCAATTCTTACCCGAGTAACCTGCCTCCTACGTCAGCGGGTAATACCACGTGACATCGCGAGTAAACGATCCGCGACTCGATTTTGGAACGGCCAGGATAATCACCTGGATACTACGCGGATTGGCTTCGTCTTGGGCGACGGCAAAAAGAAAACACAGCAGCGATGGCAGAAAATAGCAGACGATCCTTTTGATCATGGAGAAAGCACCCGAAGAACGGCAATGTTAATGACGACGCGGTGTTTTTTGAGGTGGATCCACCAGCTCCTTTTACTCACCTTCGTTTTGAGCTGTATATTGAGATCAAAATTACTTACTCCTTACAGCTAGACATAAAAAAATGTGTTTTTATTAATCAGCGCGATCGCTGCAATTCTTGTCACGGTGCCCTAAACGCATATATCCCACGCATTGTAATTTGCACCGATTATGTTTTGCAGGAATTACTCCACACGGTGTAGCGGTACAGCGCGAGGGTGCTTTCTCCAGAATGATATGAAACTCACGTTCGCTTTGACGCGAATGTGATTACAGTGAAATTTTCGAAGCCTTCACTGCTTTACAAACGTTATCCTCTCATTACACACACTCTGGAGAAAACAAAAATACTACATTATCATATACCGAGCTCAAACATTTTCGGCCTTGAACGTGAGATTACGGCATTCCCCCAACGCCGAGGACGAGGATGCGGAGAAGTTCCTGTTTACGCTCGCACTCAGATAATACAAGTACACGTTCCCGGGGAAGGTGGACGGTCTGGATGTAATGCAGTCAATTCCTGCGTTGACAACAGCAAATCGCAATAACCACACATGCTGCACCTAATTCTTTGTCATTTCGAACGTCCGCCACCAAAACCAACGGAGAAAGCGAGCTTTGACGGCTGTCGGCGCAGAAAGCAGACGACGAACAGATCACGTGACGTATTTACTCGATTTGATCCGACTTTACCCTCCGATTGAGGAGGGTAGCGCGAGTAATTACTCCGGAGTAAACAACCCGCTTCTGGAACGCGAGTTCTGACGTCATCGAGTAAGCTCGAGTAAGTTTTGGAACGCCACGGTACGAAACTTTTACTCCGGAGTCGGATCGAGTAAATTTTGGAACACAGCCCAGGTTTTGAGTTGCGCCCACCCTCACTACAGCCTCCCTACAAGAGCCTGCAAAAAGAAAACGGCCAAAGTGAAAATTTGTGAAGCAACTGGGCAACACTGAAGAGGTTCAAATATTTTTATGCTAGGTGGAGCAAGCTACCACCAAAACCCCAAAACGTAGGCCAGTCTGAATAGCCAGGGCCAACGTTACTAAAACCCACTGATCTCTATGACAAGTGCTGGATCGCGCTTCCCCGCTTGTTCGCTGCAGCGCAAGTGAAGCCACCGGGCTTCACTCGCTTGGGATACGATTTGCCGTTTTTGCTAGCCTTTGCTGCGGTTTTCCAGCGTGCTGACGACACGTTTTCTACTCGTTCGTCGTCATTCGCCGAAGAAGTTTTTTGAAGACGCTGTGTATGTTGAGACTTGCCGTTGTGAACACGTGGAAAATTTTACGAAAGTGCAGTGTCGCAGGAAAAAGGCACAACGCGTCGAAAGGAAGGGCTGGCGGCGTGTTCAAAGATTCCTTGGCACGCCGAAGTGCCGTGTCTCTGTGCCTTCGCACGCTTGGATACCGACCAAGAACCGACGCCGTGTGTATGTGTTCAGCGAGTGCAATGTGCGTGAAGCTGTTCGTGCCTCTGGATCAGCGTCTTTTCCCCTCGCGGTTTAGGAACGAGCTTAATCCAGCGTCCACTAGCGACGGAAGATGGGGAGAAGGTACGTCTTTTTTTCGTCCTTAGACGATTTACACAATACCGTGCACAACAGCTCCTCATCACTGATCAGTGCTGGCTTATTATCAACCTACTTAATTGCATTTGACGTTTGAGCGCGGCTCGCCTAATTGTAATTGGTCAACAGATTGCACACGACCATATCGGCCGCGCTTCAAAGATTTTCATTCTCGCCGTCTTGTACTTTTGCTTTCGAAAACCCCCCTCGCTCCACGTACAACGTTGCCCTATTCGTGCTCCCACGGAATCTATTAGAGTAGATTTGGGACATAGCCATGGTTAATATAGTACATAAGAATACGTACAGATCTCCCCCTTTTATTGATAGCAACTCACCGGAACAGCTGGACGATCCAGAACTCCGTGGCCGATATATATAAATGATCTAAAGGCATCTACGCGCGACACACGTTCAGAACTTTGGCGCGGCGTCAATTCTTGACCGGTATCCAAGCGTGCGAAGGCACAAAGATGCATCACTCGGCGTGCCAAGGAAGCTTTGATCACGCCGCGACACCGGCGACACGTTTTCGACGAGTTGTACCTTTTGATACGGCTTCACGCACATGGCACTCGCTAAACACATTCACACGGCGTCGGTTCTTGGTCGGTATCCAAGCGCGCGAAGGCACAGAGACACGGCACTTCGGCGTGCCAAGGATGCTTTGAACACGCCGCCAGCCCTTCCTTTCGACGCGTTGTGCCTTTTTCCTGCGACACTGCACTTTCGTAGAATTTTCCACGTGTTCACAACGGAAGGTCTCAACAATACACAGAGTCTTCAAAAAACTTCTTCGGCGAATGACGACGAACGAGTAGAAAACGTGTCGTCAGCACGCTGGAAAACCGCAGCAAAGGCTAGCAAAAACGGCAAATCGTATCCCAAGCGAGTGACGCCCGGTGGCTTCACTTGCGGGAGCGGCAAGCGCGATCCAGCAATTGTCATTGAGATCAGTGCTAAAACCCCTAAAACCTACCTCGTTGCCTAAAACCCTCATTTGGGATGCTCGCTGGCGTCCACCGAGACCGAGCTAAAAGCGCTAAAAGGGACTTTAAGCTAAATACGATAACAACGCCAACCTTTAGCGACGAGTTGAAACATAAAAGTTGCTTTACATAGCTACTGCGAGATGGGCCTGCGAGATGGCGCCACTGGCCCGTGCCTGACGTAGGTAGAGCACTATATAGCTAGGGGTGTCGCGAACTTTTGTCGAACCAGATTTTTAGGTCGACCTTTCGAGGTTCGACTGGGTCGAACTGGTTCGACGAACCTTCGAACTTTTCCCCAGATTCGACCGGTTCGACTTTGTGGACACTGTGGCCAGACCTTGATACAAGCATGTCTAGGTTTGGAGAATTTTTTTTTTATGCAAAGGGTTATTTTATTTTATGAACAGTTGAAAATAAAAGAAACCAATTCTAATCACTGAAGAGGTTAATAACTTAATCTTCTTGTACTGCATTAACTGAAATAACCAATCAGCGCTGCCCTTAATTCTCCCCTTAACCGTCACCATTCAATCCAAAGCCAATTGGCCAGCCTGTCGCGCATGCGCACACGAGTCGAACCTCAATACAAGGTTCGTCGAATTTTCCACTAAAGGTTCGAAAAAGTCGAACCTGGTCGAACTCGAACCTCGGCCGGTTCGCGACACCCCTATATATAGCTCCTTCGGAGCAGAGTAGCGCAATCTAGAACGCCGTCTCTCGGCGACTAGCGGCGAACGCCCGGAGGTTCCAACTGCGGCCAGAAACGCATGGAGAACGTGAGAAAATCGTTGTTTCTTCAGTTTTGTGGGGATGTGCGGAATGGAAATCATTTTTGACATAATAATGAAACATTTTGGAATAATATGCGATAAGTTTTGTGCCATACAAGGACGTAACTTTTTTTAAAAAATTGCCTGAGCGGCGTCATGCAGCAGACGACACGGCGACGTCACACCATTCACGTGACCCGCTCCGGCCAACCCGAAAAGCCCATCTCCGCTGCGAGCAAAAATCGTCTGCTCCAAACGCCATTGCCTTGGAAATTGCCTTCTCAAAATTTGCACACGCATCCGATATTATTAAAACTTTGATAAAGTGTTTAGCGCTTTACTAACTTCACGACAGGCTAGTTTTGAAAAATGTGAACTCGCCGTTAGTTTTTTAATCAGCCGCGTTATGTCGATCTCCATGTATTATCCCATAGGGCGGGCCGCCTCCTGGAACCCTGAGTACCACGTGACTCGCCCCGAGCCGCTCTGTCGGCCATGTTGTCGGCAAAACACGGGGTTCAAAGGATTGCGCTACTCTGCTCCGTAGGAGCCACTGGTAGGAGCTATATAGTGCTCTAGACCACGGCCGGTCTAGAGCGGAGAGGCGAAGAGCGCGCCTCTCCGCTCTAGACCGGCCGTGTCTAGACTTAGGG